TAATGGAGGAGCTAGAATTTGAGGTGGCTTGAGGTTGGAAATTATGATAATTATGACTTTAATTTCAAGATGATGTTCAACTTAATTTATATGAAGTCTTTCTGATTCAAATTACCCGCTGAGTTGAAACATTTAATATAAAAAATATTGCTATTTAATTGCAACTGTACATTTTTCGGTGGTTTAATAAAGACAATTTATTCAATTGATGTTTGGTCCAAAAATACTTGTTTAATTTGGATGCATTTTTGCTTATTATGTCGAACTTGCTTAAACAATCAAATTGTGAGCAATCTACGGTATACCATGATTCAGAGCGGTCATTCGTAACTGGGGGTGTCTTCATGTAGTACATGTTAAAATAGTGCATCTGGAGAAGAGGGCTGTCCACCATTAGGTTCTTCATATCCACTAATATAACTTGCCGTAACCCGATACTACCTAAAATGTCGACAAAGCCGATTTCTGGTCGGCTAAAAGAACTACTGAGGGACAGCTGAACCTGGAATTTGACCATTGTTACCCAAATGAAATATTGGTACTGCCGATCCGCCCCCACGAAAGAGAAAAATTCCATGAGAGGCTTTCCATACAAATTGTAGAATCCACATACCTGTGCAAGCGAATTTCGCTTCACTCAACTTCACTCATTTTCAGCTCGGGCCAAGTAGCCCTTCACTCCCCTCATTCGCGTGAAAGAAGGCTGAGTGAGGCTTCACTCACTCATCAATCCCATTCTCACTCCTTCATTCCCTTCACTCCCTCATTCCTCTCACATCACTCATTCCCCTCACTCAGCTATTTTCCTCACTCTTTCTGTCATTCAATCATGTCCCTCGTGTCATCATAAGTTAAATATTTTGGCGCCATCTAGTGGGGGAATGTGAGACTAGGCTGGGGCAATGTGAGACTGGGATGGGGCAATGTGAGACTGGGCTGGGGCAATGTGAGACTGGGCTGGGGCAATGTGAGACTAGGCTGGGACAATGTGAGACTAGGCTGGGACAATGTGAGACTGGGCTGGGGTAATATAAGACTTCCCTGGAGTGATGTGAGACGCACTGTTTTAATATTGCGACGGCGAGTTTAGTGTCTAAACTAATTATATTCCTTCATTTTTCTTCCCCGGAGACAAAGGAGTGAAGGAGATCTCCTTCACTCCTTCACCCTTCATTCCACTCATTTCTCGTTTGGGCCTCCCTCACTCAGCTTCACTCACTCGATGAAAGTTTTCAACTCCCTCACTCAGCTTCACTCTCCTTCACTCCCTCATCGTGAATGAAGCCTCAATTTTCGTAAATTGAGTGAAGCTGCACAGGTATGAGAATCCACTTTCTTCTGGGAGAATGACAAAAGTTGCCCAACAATGTTGGGCAGGGTTTCGTCGCCTCTGCATGGCCATCTTGGGGAAAATTACATGTTCAGGCGACCAAGTGATATATCCGTGGTACTCACGTAAGATGACCGGTCCAAAAGTAGGCTTGGTAGGATACGTCATGGCAACCCCATTAGGCGTGAAAATCATTGTCGTACAGTTTTCGAAGGGGAGAAGATACTCAGTAACTTTAGCAGTCATTGAGGCTTCGTATTTGTAACTTCTTGGAATTGTTGGGTACCCAAACGTAACTTGTAGAAGAATTTGGACAAAGTAAGGAATAATAGTCCAGAATGACATTTTTCTTCGATTGCCTACAAAATATTCGATTAATTCAAGCTTACCGTATATTTGTAAATTTCAATGGTATTTACACCTGTTAAGCTTTGATTTGGTGTAGATACATATGTAGCTACCAGAATGAGTGCGAGTAGAAATATTTCAGAACTTCTTCGACAGTGTTGGTTTCGTATGTTCTTTAGGTATGTATCTCGAAAATGAGTGTCAATTAACTCAAAAACGTACTCTTTGTAAAATGTTTTTAATGAAGAATTCACGTCTAACATGAACATGAATTGCTTTCCAGTGCACTTTGATTAGTTAAATGGATCTGGTGTCAATTCGGTTATTCCCACCACCTAGATATTTCCGTATCATTTCAAAATTTAGTTTCGTAAAAACATCTTCTAAACAAATTTATAATATTGTTGACCTTACTGAATCGAACTAATCAATGTGCATGGTAAAGTAATTCATATTCATTTTTAACGCGACCATTTTTCTTGGTGAGGCAAATATAACCTGACTTACCTAACAACGAAAAAAATTTACTAATCCTAAGTATGCACCCAACCCCAAAAAGTGAAATAATTCCATTTCTCGGTCATTTCTTAACAGATTTCGATGAAATTTTGCTCAGATAATGGTTAGAGGATAATATGGAAAACTACTAAGATTTCTCGTTTTTGGGGACCTTGTTTATGATTTAGAACATTTTCTGCGAAGCCCTCTGTTGGGGGGAACTCTTTTTAGGACCAATAACTTCGCGGAGCAATTTCCTCAGGCGCACATCTTTCATGAGCAGGTCTTTCACCAGGTCGTGTAAATCTACTCCCTCGTAAACTCCAGAAAAAGACTTGAATGATAATCGTTGTATTCAAGCGTCGCACAAGCATCAATTTCTATTAAATCGCTCATTTAAATAATCGATAGGTCCAGGAGAATGTGTCTCAGTATCAGGCTAACTTCTTATTGTTTCTAAAAATGGTGCTATGTGTAATGAGCTAAAATTTGAGGCAATCAGTTTATGGTTTAATTCACATAATAGTCGTCAAGATTATCAGTTTGAAACTTGCGTTAGAAAAGTTGGGCTGGAAAACAACTTAAATTATTCGAAAACAGGAAACCCGTGCAATTGTTTCCGGCACGACATATTATGGTGATATTAGTAAGCAAAATGTACGTAAAAACGACGAACTTTATTTAACCTTTTAATTCATAACGAGGACAGTAGTTTTATATGAAGTGGTTCAATTTCGAAGGAAGACTTAAGTCGTCCTGAAATAAATGTGGTAATGCTTCGGGATGAATAGAATTGTCGTTTCTTGAAGCTCAATGATTTTCACCATTTTCTCTTCGTGGAGAAAACTTGTTCCCATTTTTGATTTATCCTCTGCCAACCAACTGTTAAATTTGAGCATTTTCTAGCCGAAAAATAGAAAATTTCCCAATGCAACGTAATGTTAAATTTCGGATCTTTCAGTTTTTTCGAGTTTTATTGAAAGTTCAATACATAGTTCTATGTATTGAATTTTTCTTCCCGTTTCTTTCAAAACTTCTCGCTGTTTTGAAATGTTAAACCTGGCATGGGAACACCAAGAACATGACGTTGTATTCAGTGGCGGCGGAAGATGACGTCATCGTGGGGACATTAGCGTTGCAGGATGTAAGAAGGCGGGACTTCATAACATTGACAGGATACCAATGTCCCCCCGATGACGTCATCTTCCGCAGCCACTGGTTGTATTGATCAATGGTTTTGTAAACTATTAACGTAAAATGCAACTATGCAAAACATCCCCAGGGGCTATCCATACAGTACGTTACAAAAAATTCGTGATTTAGTACCCACCAATCCAACGTAAGGGATAGGGAATTTTAACACGACAAAGAGAGGGTGACATAAACCACCCACCCACTGAAATGATGAGGTAATATATAGACGTTCCCTAATACCCCCAATTCTACTAATATGTATGCAGTGCTCCAAGTCCAATGTAAACTTTTCGTATGGGCAAAACAGTGAGAAAAGTGGACGTGAGCTTGGAGAAGTAGATGTATTAAAATGTGCCATTCTTCTAGCAGGTTACATATTATTTACAAGTCAAGCCTTTATTGAGGGATGAGAGCACTTTATAAGATCGATATGTCCGTCCGTCGGTCCATCTGTCCGTTCGATACGTCGAGAATGAAAATACCAAGATACTTGAAATTTTGAACGCAAACTCCTAACGTCAATAGGCAGGGCGGGTTCGAAGATGGACATTGCGACGATTGAAGTATCACAAACCATCAGGATGTTCTTTTATCGGCGAGGAAACCAAAAACTTCTAACTTGTTCGTCACAGCAAGCACAATACATAATAGTACAATACTATTTTCGAAAGACGGCTAAATCTACCCGATCTAGACTCTGACTCGTAGTTTCAGAAAACTTGTCTCAAGGAAAAGTCAGATACGTTCCCAGAACTATTTATTGACCACACAAAATTATCAATATCACAAAGTCTGATTTTTCTGACAATCTCTCACACTTCACAATTATCAAAATTAATTCCTAATTTTTACAATAATTATCCAAAACGGTATCGAGTTTTCTAGCCTATCATTTTACATATAACGTCATAGAAATGTCTGCCAATTATTTTACGATTAAAATTATCTATGTGTACATACGCCATAATTTAACAACTATTTTGGCTATACTCTTCCAGTTGTATGAAATAAATTTTTTGATACCCGACGACTTATCGATAAGTTTTCAGGTAGGATTATTTCATAGCTATGCGAAGATAATAGTTACGCGTTCTCTGCAAATTTTATTAGAAATAAATAAACCCCATGATTAAAAATCTATCCACGTAATTATGAAAGGTTAATTGCATACATATCATTTTTCTGCATAAAGCTGTTAGTGATCAATTATTACATAATAATTGATCACTAACATAGCATATGCTAAACTGCTTTAGACTAAGTATTTAGGAGAAATTGGGAGAAATACATCAGAGGTACATTTATTACTAAAGGACAGTCTCTCCTAAAAATATGGTTTACATATATTATATAATTATGGTATGTATGTATTTGCCAAGATAATTGTGATGCGAATGTGAACGTTGACTTTATGAGCGGAAACTTTCCATAAATTGATAAAGTAGAGAGGCATGAATATGTTTATGATGGTCGGGGTTAGAGTTCAGTCTCCAAAAATAGCTACATACACCAAACAGTTTAATGCATCATACATAATTATGCAAATGTCCTGGTATGAAAGACGTCTGCTACGCAGTAATGTGCAAAGTCAGTAATGCTAAATTTCTTAAAGATCTTCACCAATGCGCTATTCATCTTTCATCTCGTCCGAATTATCATGGGAATCCTTTATTGTCAAGAATGTCAAGAATACGAATAACATGAAGAGTTTTGCAACATGTTTTACAACATTTTGAGAGGCAAATTACTGATTAGTTATCGAGCTGTAAGTCGTCATAATGTGGAGGCACTGTGGAGGATAGAACATCATACATAATATTTTCATCACAGCGAAATTAAATTCTGCTTTAGAAACGTACAAGTTGCGATGGACGAGACAGACGCACGCCTTGATCCCAGTTGAGAATAAGATGGTGGTAGAAGAGAAAGTAACGAGAATGACCGAAGCGACAAAAATGGAGTGGATCTTCTTCGGGATGAAGTTGGTATAAAATCGTCACCGTTTTCGGAAATATTTTCCAACTGTGGGGCTGATGGTTGTGGTGATGGTGACCAGGGTTCGGAAACCCGGGGTTTTTGTAGAAAAACCCAACCCCGTGGGTTTTTCCGGGGTTTTTGGGGTTTTTGTGGGTTTTTGGGTTTTTGTGGGTTTTTGTGGGTTTTTGTAGATTTTGGGGCAGGTTGAACCAGAATTCCTAAAATTATTTATTAGAGAAAAACTAATTTAATATACGATTTTAACATGCAATTTTAACCGTTATCATTGATTTGGACTATTACATCGAAAATTCATGTTTGACATGTAAACCTGGAAATATGCAATGATACTTGGAAATTCAAGTCGCAAATGAAAATTCTCAAAATTTCAAGATGAGGCAGAAAAGTTAATTAGCATTGATCTACGTTGTAGTTTAAGGGATTTTGTTTCAATCTGCCTCAAAATCTTACAAAAACCCCGGAAAAACCCACAAAAACCCGCAAAAACCCGCAAAAACCCCATTAAGCATTAGGGTTTTTCCGGAGATTTGATACCCCAAAAACCCACAAAAACCCCAAAAACCCCAACCCACAAAAACCCGGGGTAGCGAACCCTGATGGTGACCAACTTGGGAATGGGGCAGATGGTAGGGGACAATTGGAGTGTGTTCCTAGCATGAGGGGTATTCTGCCAGTGGCGATTTTAGCATCCATGGTTACAGTTTGGACCTGAAGGAAGGAATTTAAAATAAATAGTGAGCAAGTTTCGATAGGTAAAAAGCAAATTGACCAGGGAAGTGTGAAATAGTGGGAAAAGGCGTTTTACCACCCACCCAAAAATGAAAGAAATAGGGAAAACTCTTGTTTGGGGCAATCTGGAACAAGTTCTTTAAAACTTAAAACTTTTCAAAATCTTACTATTGACTATATTCGTATTCTCCATCGAATTCTGAGAAAATAAGTTGGTAATACGGTTCATTTCGAACAATCTCTAAAATTAACATGTATAAGAAAACTAGAAAAACAGTCAAAAGTGCCTGTATTACATATCAACATTTTCAGAAAATCGTGGAGTTGACGAATATGAAGTCCAATTCCGAAAATGTTGATTATTAAAAAAGCTAGCTCTCCCCGAAACTATTTACATGGGCAGCCATATTTTCCCATTTTGGACGGTAACAACCGTTTTTCCCGGTTTTTACCACTTTCCCCGACTTGCGTGGTTTACGGGAAGTGAAATATTCTTAAAAATTTTCAAAATGGTTTTCATTTGTTTTTTTGTTTCTTTTTAAATAAAGGAACATAGTAAAATTATCGATTTTTTTACGAAAAATATAACAAAAATTAAGGTTAGCTAAATAAAGTTAAGGAGCATCAAGAAACTACAAAATTTGCTAGAAATTACCTCAATTTCATATATAATCTTCACAAATGGGTCGCGCTCCCTCAAGTACGACGGAATTTTGACTTTACCGCATAATCTCCCCGTTCTCAGGCAAATTTGTTTTTTGAAAAATCTTTTAAACATAATCGAATCAATGACGTTTTCTTCCTTCTCATCTTCCCCTAATTCGGCCTTTTGTATTAAAGAAACTACGACTTTTTCTACAGTAACGCGCAATGAGTCATACAATTTGATTGTGAAGAGAATCTTGTCAGTGAGAAGAAATTGGTCCCGTGGTACCTCCAAGGTGCAGGATACCCCGTCAACGAAGATTTCTTTCGATTTGAAATTAAAGGTCGGCCAAATGTCGAATTTTCCGGGAAATTTGAAAATTTTCTCATGTAGGGTAACATAATCTCCATATTTTTTCATAAGAACGAAAAGTCTGTACTTGATGGAGAATAAGTTGGAACGAAACGTAGGGGCCAGACCTTTAATAAGGTTGAGGATAAATGGAAACCTCCGAATATCCATAAGATCCGCTTTAACTGAAGCTTTCTTCCCGTTGCATAACTGAATCATACCTTTCTGTGCCGTTTTTTTCTAGTCTGTGTGAAAGTAAGGGAATTTCAGGACGTTTAGCTGATTTAAGTGTTCCGGTCAATTCGATGAATAAACCTGGCACATTTAATAATTAATTTTCAGAATTATGTATTTATATATTTTTTTTCTTTGAGACCCTTAATTGCTTTTGCAATTTTAAATTAAATAATTGGGAAATATGAGAGGTGCGGATAATTTGGAAATAAAAAAACCGGAATACAACTATCCAAAAGGATCAATTATTTTAATTTTTCCGATTATATCCAAAATCATGCACCCGCACATACATTCTTTCACCACTGGTAGTTAAAATCCAGTTTGACAATTTTCCCCATTTACCAGCATGGGACTTATTCATGGTGACCTCCACATATCCCGAAATTACCCCGTCCAGCTTAGGAACTTTGTCCAGAAAAATTGCGATCCTATCCGGAATCTGCTGCGGTTTTGTATCAGGTAAAGTCGGGTCTGGCCAGGTGTACCGACCATCTGAATTGGGTGGCACACGCAAGGGGGGTGGCTGATCTCGGAAATATGGCATGATTTGAAATACGCAGAAAGAGAAATACCAGCTGCTACACGGTGCAAAAAGACTGGATGTATGTACTATGTAAAACTGGTGGAAACTGAAATACATGAGGAAGAGAATTTTGCCAAAATCTCGGGAAAGTATCGATTTATCCGAGGCAAGATCGAGTTCGCGAAAAAAATTCGGGTAAAAGAGCAACAGTTTTGTGTTCCTTGAATGCGAGAGAAACATTATTCGTACAAATGGGGAGAAATGCTTACCATGCTTTAGCCGTTAACAGCAAGCAAGTTGGAAAAATATTTACATAAGGCTGTATTTATCTTCATGGGGATCAGATTTTCGATGAGAAGGACGCTACGGTACGTTAGTGTTTCTCACGGGTTAACCCGAACCATTACTATTAACATTCGGGTTTCGGGTTCAGGTTTCGGGTCCCATGTTAATAGTAATGGTTCGGGTTAACCCGTGAGAAACACTACGGTACGTTGGACGACTTAGAAAAGTGATGTAACAGATAATTATCTATATACATACATGTGGACATGCGTCAAACGCATCATGTAAAAATTAATACTGAATACAATTTCATGAATATATTTTGCTAATTTGATTAAACTGATTTTAAAATACAAACTGAGGCAAAATGTTACAATTTCTTTATTAGATTTTTTTCCAAATCAAGCCACATGTACTTTATCTCCTTTGTTAAATACTTCACCTATTGGAAATAACGCAAATTGCATATTCGAATAAGAGCATAAACATATACGTGCATTGTACACCTGACTTCAAAAATACATAAAATAATTTTAAAAAAAGCTTGCTTAGGCGAGGCGCTGCTAAAAGTGAAAAACAAGGCCTCTTGGCATATATTTTAAATATCTCGTACCTTTATCATTGTAACAGGAGTTGGTGGCTTTGCATCACCGCGAGGCCAAACATTTTGACCGTATACCATACCACGCCATTTATTAGTTACATTTTCTGCCAAGAAATTCAATTATTGCTAATTAAAATTGTATCTACATATATAAATGCTTAAACAAACGATTATTGCTTCGAAAGGGTTATAAAATTGAGTGGAGTTTGTAAACTTATTGTGCTCAATAATGTTTATTTAGCTCATAATTTAATTCAATAGTTAACCTGTAATTCAGGTAGCTAATAAAATTTGATGGACGTGCACAATTATCCGCAGGTGTTATGCAAGAAATTAAGATGCCAACGCACGAATAAGGAGGACACCACGCGAGGATGTATTTCCTAATTTTATTTACGTAGTAAAACGACTAGTTTTTAATACGAATTAAAAAGTGATAAATGATCATTTTGAGAAATTCGTGAACCCAGATTATGTTCTTGCGAATTCTTGAGAATATATTCTTTATTGCTAGAGGCTTAGCGTAAAATGTTTGGCCTCGCGGTGATGCAAAGCCACCAACTCCTGTTACAATGATAAAGGTACGAGATATTTAAAAGATATGCCAAGAGGCCTTGTTTTTCACTTTTAGCAGCGCCTCGCCTAAGCAAGCTTTTTTTAAAATTATTTTATTTCATGGATTTTAGGTGATACACATTTTCAGACAATTAATTGCACCTCAAAATTGATAAACTTCTTTAAATGAAGACCGAATGTGATCTTTTTCATTACAAAATTAGTTGAAAATATCCATACGGGGTCGCAACATTAATTTCCCTGCAATTCGCATCAATGATTGAAATTCGTCAACATCAAGTATTTGATAATTGCTTTCGCTGACAGTTTGTTGATGTGTTTTTTTTGCACAGGCTTAGGGACTAACGATCAAATAATCCAATTTTTAAATTACGATTAGTTTAGCAGATAATAATTTTTCAGATAATATATTTTACGGGGATTTCACGAGAACATCTGGATTATGGCTTAAGATTATTTAATCTGGATTAGATTATAAATTACAAAATGAAATTACAAAATGAAAAATTTAAATCCAAAATATATGCATATAGGATGTTCAAATTTGAAATTTGCAAATTTGACACGGTATTTAAATATAAAATTATTGAAATTTGAATTTGCAAAAGAATTTATAGTTAATCTGGATTAATAATCATGCCCAACGCTGATCAGGATAGTTTTTGGGCGATTGGTCAAAAATGGAAATTACAATTGATCAATTAATTTGGCTAATTGCAATTGTGTAAACACAACTATTTGTATTTTGAAAATTGTTATATTGATAGCTATTAGCAACCAACTGGGAATATTGTAATTCTGATGCGAAATGCTTAGCAACATGAATAGTTCAAGATGCCACCATCAAAACTTTTTCAGTTTTGGACCGATCTCACAATGGAGAGGTGTCAGGTGGTTATCGCCAATGTGGACCGGACTAACTTTAAATTGTCCAGGCCCAGAAATAAGCCCACCCGTATTTTTTCGTTTTCCTGAATGGGCATATTTACGCCCGTGGCGGAATTTTCAAAACAAATTTCAGCCAAAATCCTGATTTTTAAAAACGCTGTAACTTTTCGAATTTTAGCCCGATTTCAAAAATTGAATACAATTTGTGTTCAGAATTACTTCCCTGAAAATATAAAAATTCATTTTCAAAAATTTTTTAAATTTAATATTTTCATGCCATTTCTGAGTTTTTAGAAATGAACAAAACGATAATTTTTTGAAAATTAAAAAATTTTTGAAAATGAATTTTTATATTTTCAGGGAAGTAATTCTGAACACAAATTGTATTCAATTTTTGAAATCGGGCTAAAATTCGAAAAGTTACAGCGTTTTTAAAAATCAGGATTTTGGCTGAAATTTGTTTTGAAAATTCCGCCACGGGCGTAAATATGCCCATTCAGGAAAACGAAAAAATACGGGTGGGCTTATTTCTGGGCCTGAACAATTTAAAATTAGTCCGGTCCACATTGGCGATAACCACCTGACACCTCTCCATTGTCAGTCGGATTTGTTTTAAATGACGCAAAACCGATTTCTGCATGATAAAATCATGTTATATGCATATAGTTCTTTGGTGCAAGTTTCTCAAATTTTGATTTTAAAGTTTCAAATCAAAATTTGAGAACGAAGAATAAAACTTTTCCAACGGGCATATTGAAAAACATTATCTCGTAATTCTCCTCTGCACGATTGCTCTTTACACCATTTGCGTAGGATTAACCGTTCAGGCTCTAGCCTCGCTGACAGTTTCAAAGGGTGTATACGAAAGCATACTTAGGCTTCGCCGTAACCATGGCGTGACACTTTTTTTGCGGGCACCCATGTTTACTTTTGCCTCACCTAAGAATAAATATGTAAAATTTCCATATGAACATCGTCCTAAAGTGATGTTCATAAAATATATATCACGAGAAGGGGGGGGTAATGATATCTTCCGTATGTGACACATGTAAAGGGGGGAGGGGGGAGGTGACTCTGGAAAATCGCGATTTTTGCGCTGCATAATTTATGAACGACCATCAGGTCGTATGTAGCTGCTAGGAAGCCTGCCAGGAATTTGCAGTACTAGCTAACCACGCCCTGCGCGACCACATGACAAAGCATAAATAATTCACAAGTATTCCAAAACTAAATGATTTAACACGCGATCAAGTCGGTGAAAAATTCTACAAGTATTCATGCATGTAAATATGTATATTTTTAATATCTGATCCGAGAAATAACTTTCATACCACATTCACAACAATTTATAATTGGTCACTGGTCTTACCTGGAAGTCACCACTAGCGGTGACCATATACTCACAGAATCAGGTTTATTTTTGTGAACTATTAATAGTTCTTTAGCAGAAAAGTATAACTCCATTAAATAAAACTCGCGACAAAAATGTTATAAATAAAAGTAGTTCAAAAATTTACGCAATACAGATAGTACGAATATTTTAACTGATGCGGACTAAATCCACGACACATCATGAATTCTCTCCGAATTTTAACGGTTTCAACGCTAATTTTCAACCTCACCGTGTTCTCCACCTTTGTCCAAGATATTAACCAGTTCGACAACTGTCAGATCCTTTTATATTTAATTGGTCCGATTACTTCGCCTCTGCTCGATCCTCTACCAACTCGAATCAAACATCCAATCCAACTCACCCACAAGTCGGCATTCTTACTGCCACCATCATTACCAGTAAAGCAACATAGGACATGGATCTTAAAACGAAACTTGTCATATCCCTCCGTTCTCCCAGATATCGGTCCCACCCTTTCAAAATCCCCGCTCATCTGTAAACTCCTCGCTGTGCTGGTTATGTTACCGCCAAATCTAATAAACCCTGCCAACATGGTCGACGTATTTAGTAAAATAAGCTCCTTACGCGTAATCCAGGTAGGCTTTGAAACGGAAGAAGACCAATTTGAAGACGATTATAAGTCATATTTTCGCACATGTCTCGCACTTGTATACCTCCAGAAAAGGACGCCGTTTATAGAAAAATTTACACAATTTGATAGTGAACCGATCCCCATAAATTTCTTCGGGTTGCCGTGGAGTAGTGAAATCCTGGACAAGTATCACATCCAGGGGAAAGTCTTTGTCAAATATTTCGGAAACGAGATAGATGAAAATTTGAAATCTGAGGCTCCGTTAATTTTGAAAATTCACTCGCTAATTCTACAATCCCAGAGAAAAATGGGCTGTTGCGGGATACCTTATTACCCTACCGAAGAAACCTTTTACCTTCCAAAGTTTAATAGAAATCAAGAAAGATTTCGCTTTGGAGTGGAGACACGCCTTAGACGACGTTATGGCCTCGCTCATCAAGACACATCTAAACCTATCGGAAACTCTACACAAAACCGAGCAAGATCTCTTCATCGAATTCATGTCTCGAGCCCAGTTCCCAGGCAAAATCAGTGACGATATCACCACTTTTGACGACGTTCCGGTAGCAATTCCATTTCAAGATGCATACCACTTATTCTGGATTAACGAGAGCATCTCTTTCGTCACGTGCTCCCCGACGGAGTCTTTTATCAAATTTACCAACTTTTTAACCCCATACCAATCCGAGGCTTGGGTCGCCATTGGGGTCACATTCCTCTTGCTCGCCCTCGTACTAAAATTAGTAACGAAAAATTTTAAGGGGTCGTTCAGTCTGCTCGGCGTCGTACTGGAAAACAGTAGCGAAAACGCGGCATCTTCTAAAACAGCGACGGGATTGCTCATGATCTGGACTTTTGTCCTGCTTTTGCTCGGAAATGTGTACAAAAGTATTGTAACGAATGACCTAACGGCCCCGTTATCGGGGAACTTTCCGACCAGTTTGAAATCCATGGTGGACAATGAATTCTTATTTGTTGACGTGTATCCGTTGGGGCTGGGGGCTGGTCAGCGGTCCGATTTATATGGGAGGGTGACCGGCTTCTTTACGTTTTTGGAGCCCCACGCCTTAATTGAGATGAACCGTTCCAACCTGGTTTTTGATGAAGCTACAATTTCAGACATGTTTGATTACAGGCAATGTTTTTATCATTACGGGCAAAAAAGGGTGACGCCTCGTTTTTCAGAAATTTGTGGTAGGAAATATTCTAATTTCACGGAAAGTGACCATGCCACCTTTTATGAGACATATTTAAGAAAGTATCCCCTTCTTCAGATGGTCATACACTTACAGACATTCCCCGTTAACCATGATGGAGTACAAAAAGAAGCAGTAAATTTAATGGCAAACTGCGAAAAAGCTGCCCTTGTCGGGTACACGTCGCAAATTGATCTCGTTGTGGCGAAACTTTTGGGGGAAACGTCCCACGTGACAAGACGGCCTTATAAAAAGCTTGGCGAAACGGTATTGTCGAGGCAGAGATTCGTCGCGATTTCGAAGTATGGATGGGAAATGGTGGGAGGTTTTATGCAGGGGATTTTTACGAGTGGAATTTTATTTAAGTGGTTACAGTTTTTGGAGGGTTTGTACACCGGGTTTTATCGATGGGAAGGGGACAGTTCGGGGGTTAAGTTTCAAGCGCAGGATTTATTTTCGAACTTGGGAACGGTATTTTTTATCTTGTTGATTGGAACGGGGTTAGGTTTGGTGGGGTTTGGGATTGAAATGTTGAGATTTCCGGAAATGAATAGGGAAAATTGGAGGACGATTTGGAAAAGTCATGGGCAACGTATTATCGAAGTAATGACAGGGATAAATGATAAGGTGGCATCTTGGAGGATTGTAATTGGGAAGAAATGGTGTAAACCTGGTTTCTTGATAAGAAGTAATTTATCATGTAAATGTCTCAAATGCGAAAAATTATGCAAGTTGGAAAAATTTTGCAAAAACAGAAAAACTAACGAGCAGAATGTAATTAAGATTCGGAATTTGTTTTCGAATTTGCGAAAAATTGAGGGTATAATTTCATAATTTTGGAAACATATAACATATTTGCCAAGGAATTTGTACGACTTTTATTTATTTTTAAATAAAACTATTTCTACTTTAATGGAATTTTGACAGTTTTATATTTGACAACCCTTTTATCGTCTCAAAAAGTCTCACAGCAAAAAAAAACAACAGCGCGAAAGATATCTTGCGTTACTTCTTCCGTCAAACAAAGAACAAGTTATTTGGTTGGCTCCTTTTCACTTTTAGTTTGTTGTTGCAAATACTTTTGTTGATTAATTGTCTGCTCAGCCATTTGTATAACTGGTAAGATGATGTTCTTATATTTCTAAAAAGAATACAAATAACTTTTAAAGCATTCAATTAAATTAAATAATCACGTCTTATTTTTGCTAAGAATTTTCACTACGCACTTTTATTTAATTCATTTTCGTTTATCTTAGCATTACCATAATTACGGGTGTTAATTGGGTCTTAAAATGACTACAAACGGCATGATAAAAGTAAGCCATCCACTCATTAGTCGTTTCGTACCAATTAAATTTGAAATTTAATTAAATCCCATTATTTACTGCTAAATTACTTTCAAATAAATGTTCCACTCTCAATTCTCTCTAATAAATTTACAGAATCTCGAGCTAACCATTCATCAAATGTTGGACAAGCTCACCCACTCCAATTTCGACGAGGTTTTGCCAGACTTTAAAAGCATTCAAGTAGACGACATCGATCACTTGGCGAGTCGCGTCTTTGACATTATGCTGAGTACAGTGGACCGAAACCCTTCGAGGGCCAGCGTATTTGCACGATTAGTAAATGAATATAATACATTTCAGGAAATTTTCCACCATTCTAAATTCCCTTCACTTCAGATATCCAAATGGTATCGTCCTGAATTCAAAATGAGAAAGGAACTACTGACCCGGTGTGAGGCAGAATTCGAATTATGCGTCGAAAATATGTACAAGGTCAACGTATCGGAAGATAACTTGGAATCAATAGATGATGAATCAAAATGGGACAGATTCAAGGCAAATGTTCGATTACTTGGGGAATTGTACAACAGCTGCGGAATAAGACAGAAGAAAATTATGGAGTATGTCAACATACTGCTAGGTAAGAACATATTTAGAATTTCAATGTCTTGCTTGGTTGCATAATCCTTAACGAAGATTTTTATTTCTTTCTATGTATGAATTAAGAGGGGGACGGCGATTTGAGCGTGACAATCTTGTACATCTTGATAAAAACGATTGGGCGCAAGTTGGATAAGACGGTCAAAGAGTGTACTGAAGAAACTAAACTGGCGAAGAAAAGTTTTTCAAAACTTGAGAAAATTATGAAATTCGTACAAGGTGTTGGAAATCTGTTTGCAGACCTGAGAACTCGAAGTAGCAGTGGATCTTTGTCTCCAAATTCAATAAGTGCTCTCGAGGTTAGAAATAACGATAGATAAATCAAAATTAATGAGGGAATTCATTATTCCTTCGTATCCTTGGTATTCTTCGTATCGTAGAATACCTTACGACGCTTACGAGATTTTGTAAGCATTGTAAGATTTTCTCATCGAAAATCACGTTACTATTTTTAACCTGATCCCTTGTTCTATCTTCGTAATCTATTTTACGATACTAAGGATACGAAGAAATAACAATACCCTCAATATTTTGCAAAATCAAATTGAATTTTTAGGAAATTTTGCAACTTCGGAACAACAATTGGAAAACCGCACAAGTTCCGAGCACTTCAAGATTAGGAAATAAAGTAAATTTGAAGGTGGTGAATGATCGGGTAGTTAAATACGTTTCTATTTCCATATTAAAAATTAGTCCTAAATTTATAAATACACTCTAAAAATTCCCTATAATTTTAGGATGTTGAGTCAACCATTCGTGAAATGTTAGGCAGACTCAGCCACTCCAATTTCGACGAGGTTGTAGAAGAGTTTTCAAGCACAAACTATTTAGATGGCGGCGAGGTTAACCTGATAATTCTCTTGGTTGACATTATGATGGAAAAAGTTGTCAAGAAACCAACGTCGGCCGGAATTTTTGCAAAATTGGTACCAAACATGGAAGAAGTTTTTGTGTAAATTATTTCTATTTTAGACTTCTTTCCTTTCGTATCAGGTTTCCAGAACTGATCGCTTATCCAAATTGAGAAAAGTAATCTTAAACCGATGCCAGATCGAATTTCAATCAATTATCGCCAATGTGGATAAGATCAAACAATCCGAAGATAACTTATCAGATAACGTTGCAAATCCAGAATTGGCAAGAGTGAAGTCAAAATTTATCGAAGCATTAAGCGGAGGTCACATTTCACTAATTGGCGAGTTGTACAACTATGACGTACTTGGCCAAAACACAATTATGGGATGTGTCAACGTGCTCTTAAGTGAGTTGACTTTTTAGCCTTAATTTTAAATACGTTATGTTTAATTACACAAGGGAAAATTAATATATTTTTGTGAATTATTTATGTAAGAGAGACGCAATGATATCAGCGTGATCTTTCTTTGTGCCCTGATAACCACGGTTGGTCTCAAGTTGGATAAGACCATCCATCAGTTTGAGGGGGATGAACTAACGAGGCTAGGCTTGCCAAAATTGAAGGATGACATAGAATTCGTACGCTGGATTGGAACCCTGTTTGAAGACTTGGATGCTCGAATTAATACTGGATTTTGGTCGGTAAAGTCAGAAATTGCTGTCCAGGTTGGTACATCGTTTTAACGTCAAATCCTTAAAAATTTAGCGTTAGGTTAAAATTAATCTATAAATTGTTTTTAGCAAGTTTTGCAACTTCGAAAGAACAACTGGAAAACTGAAGGAGCTCCAACGACTTCAAAATCGAATGATAACGCAAATTTGAATGTGGTAATTTTCCAGATCATTCTAAAAATCAGTCCATATAAAATTTTATGTTGTGTAATAAATATTTCCTAGGACTCGGTACCACCATTCAAGGAAGAAAAGATTGACAGCGAAGTTAACAAGGTTTGCTTAATTATAAATTTGTATCGTGAAAAACTAAACATTACAGGAAACTGCCAAATGGTAACTATTAATTGATTGCAGAATTTCGTGAGACTGAGAAATAATGCTCACCACACTTCAAAATGTTCAAGCCGAATGTCCACATCGTCAAATTTTGCTTCAGAAGATCCGTTCTTCGGAAAGCAAGATGTAAAAACATTTATCATCGCGTACATATTTTGATTTTTGGCAGAGTTTGCAAATAATTAAAAGTGAATTTTTTGTAGGATTTTGGAGCTTCTTTGCCATCATCTTGCGAACCTTATCTCAAGTATTTATCCATGTACACAAATTACGACAGAATGCTTAGACAGATGCCTCCCGAAGTCGTGGAGGAGATAAACATGGAAATTTCAGCGATTATCTATCAGCGATTCAAAGATCACAAGTAACTCGAAAGTATTTCAAAGAGACAAATTGACTTTGAAAATGACACGTTTTATAATAAATAGTTTATATAAATACTTATAAACTAAATTTTAAGCCTTAAGGATATTTAGTAAACCACAATCGAAATATATGGATAGAAACTTATAAGTGGTATGCCTTATTCAAGTTGAACATATCTAATTTTCTGTTATATGTAATGATTTAGATAAATTGGTCCCATGTGAGATTGCATAAAATACTTTTACATAATACATTTATTGTATGATCTTCATTGCATATACATATACCACTTTTGTAACATATTTAAATAGATCAAGTTCTTGGTATTTTTTGAAATGGTGTAAACCTGGTTTCTTGATAAGAAGTAATTTATCATGTAAATGCCGCAAATGCTAAAAAATTCGGCAAGTTGAAAAACCTGTGCAAAAATAACTAACGAGCAGAATGTAATTAAGATTCGGAATTTGTTTTCAAACTGGCGAAAAATTCTGGGGTAGAATTTCAAAAGTTTGAAAACATTTTTGCCACGGAATTTGTACGGCTTTTTATAAGCGTATTTATTTTTAAATAAAACAATTTCTAGTCTAATGGAATTTTGACTTTGCATATATTATTTTGCAACTATGGATGCGTCTCAAAAAGTCTCACGGCAAAAGAAAAACAGCGCGAAAGCTGTATCACTTCTTGTCAAACAGGGCAAGAAGCAAACTTTTGTTAATTGTTGATTAATTGTCTGTCCAGCCATTGGTATAACTGTTAATTGGTAAGATAATATTCTTATATTTACTACAATGAATATAGATAACTTTAAATCATTCAATTAAATCACGTCTTCTTCGATAAGATTTCACTTTTTACATGTCTAATTCATTTTCACATCATCTTATAAGGCGCCGTCCATAAATTACGTAACGCAAGAGGGGGAAGGGGGGTATAAGACTCCAATGATATCGTGCCTATGTTACACATGTTAAAGGGGGGGAGGGGGGTCTAGAAAATCGCGATTTTTGCGTTACGTAATTTATGGACGGCCCCTAATTACCTTTTCAGCGTTATCTGTATAAGCACGGGTGTTAATTGGGTCTTAAAATGACTACACACGAAATCACGGAGGTAAGTCATCCATAAATTAGTCGTGTCGATGTCGAACGAATTGAATAATTAAACCACATTTGAAATAGACATAATTACCCAGTAAAAATCCCCCTTATAAATTTACAGGATGTTGAGCTGACCATTCTTCAATTGTTGGACAAGCTCACCCACTCCAATTTCGACGAGGTTTTGCCCGACTTTAAAAACATTCAAGTAGACGCCATCGATCAATTGGCGATTCTCGTGTTTGAAATTATGCTGAGTAAAGTGGACAAGAACCCTGGGAGAGCCAGCGTATTTGCAAGATTGGTAAATGCACAAAGCATAATAATAATAAATTTCTGAAATTTTAGAGAAATTTCTAAATTCCTTTCAGATATCCAAATGGTATCGTCCTAAATACAACTTGAGAAAGGAAATCTTGTCCCAATGCGACACAGAATTCGAATTATCCGTCGAGAATATGGATGAGAATATGGACAGATTCAAGTCAAATATTGGACTACTTGGGGAATTGTACAACTGCTTCGGAATAAGCCAGACGAAAATTATGGATTATGTCGACATTCTGCTAGGTAAGAACATATCTAGAATTTCAATCGCTTCTCTTATTTACATAATTTTTACATATAGTTTATGAAGGAAAATTTATATTTCTATGAATTAAGCCCTGCAAGACGATTTGAGCGTGGTGATCCTTTGCATCTTGATAAGGACGATTGGACGCAAGTTGGATAAGACAGTTAAAGAGTGTAGTGAAGAAACTAAACTGGCGAAGATAAGCTTTTTAAAACTTGAGACAAATTTGAAATTTGTGCAATGGGGTGAAAACCTGTTTGACGTCATGTCTACTATAAGTAACGATGGGTCTCTGTCCTTAACTTCAATAACTGTTGTCAAGGTTAGAGATAAGACTAGATAATCCATCAGAATTAGTGTTAGGTCAAAATTAAGTTTTCTGCTTGTAGGAAATTTTGCAACTTCGGAAGAACAATTGGAAAGCAGTTCTAGCGACTTCAAAATCCAGGAAAAAATTAAATTTGGGCAGTGCCGTGGTAAGTTTTCATTTTTATATTACAAATCAGTACTAAATGTGGGCACATGGAATAAATATTTGCACAAAGTTGTAGGATCATTTTTTGATTAACAATTACTTCCTAGAACTCTGTACCGACCTTCAAGCAGGATTTTCCCCATTTCATGTCTCACTTTACAGAAGAGGACAAAAATAAGGCGTTTAATCCCATGAAAGCTCAACCAGTAGAATCGACAGATACGGTATCTTCTTCAAGTGGAGAATTCGACGTGGTAAGTCATACATAAATAAGTAATTCATAACTGAACAGTTTTTTAATTAATAATGCTTCCTAAGTTCGTTTGTAGTAAAAATTTTCTACAATAACTTTATTTACAGGATACTGAGCTAACAGTTCGACAAATCCTGAATAAACTCAGTCACTCTAATTTCGATGAGGTTTTGCCAGACTTTATAAGCATTGAGGCAGATGACATTGATCACCTGGCAAATCTCGTCGTTGACATTATGCTGAGTAAATTGGACCGAAACCCTTCGAACGCCAGCGTATTTGCAAGATTGGTAAATGCATAAACCATAACAATGTCGATATTGATGATTTATTGGTATTCTTCGTATCGTAAAATAAGTTACGACAGTTACAGAAGGGTTGGGCACTTACGTGGATACGAATTTGACCTTGAATAACCCTGGAACGGTTTGTCGCAACGGGTCAACATTTTGAACAGAGGAGCATGTTATCCTCAAATAGTTGTGTGCAAAAAACCAACTCTCTACTTTCAAAAATGCCTCCCCCACAGCCCCCAGAAGCTGAGACACCCATAAAACCTCTTTCCAAACTTAAATACTCGTACAACAGAATTGCTAAACATTCTAAAAGTGAATGGAAAACAGTTTCGAAATCTACAATCAATAGGGTATTGAAAAATATAGGTGAAAAGCGATAAATTTTGAGTAAAGGGCAACCACCACCCCTTGAAAGAAGGCAAAAAAGTGTTAATTTCGACCGTGCATAGGAAAATTGACCTATTGACCTTCGAAAACAATCCACTGACCCAAAAGGAAATTTTCCGTAAGGCTGGGGTGTCTAAGCGTTCAGTGAAAAGAGAAATTAACATTTTGAAGAAACGACTTCGTCGGAAAAGCCGTGTGCATCAGCTGACTGAAAAGTAGGAAAAAAATCGCGCCCGTGTTTACAAAAAAAATTATTCGAATTTTTTGTGAAGGAATAAGAGTGAGTTATTGGTGACATTTGACGAAGCACTAATTTCTCTACAAGTTACTAATTAGGTTCGAAGAGCTTACTACACGACAAATGTCGAAAACAATTCACTCAAGTTGGTGCTTCTTTGTAAGGAGAACTTTTTTAAACAGTTGATGGTCGTGGGTGCAATGTCGGGTCGTGGTGTCCTCCCACTTATCAAAGTCCCCCAAAAAGTGAAAGAATCTTCGAAGTATGATGTGGACCGTGTATTGAAACCACTTTTAGAATAACATTTTCCTAAATTGCACGGTAAAAAAATAATTAAGGTGAGTTTTCATCATGACGGAGCGTCTTCTCAGACGGCAAAGTTGATCCAAGATAATGCAAAGGACCTTGAAGCTAGATTGGGGATAAAAATCATTTCGAATAGTGAAGTACCTGTACAATCCCCCGACATAAGTCAAATGGACTTATTTGGGGTCGGATACTTGAAAACAAAAATTTTCTGCGGAGATCGAATTTTTTAGACGGAATTTGGAAAGAGTAAAAATGAGTGTTTGAACTTCTGGGGGCTGTGGGGGAGGCATTTTTGAAAGTAGAAAGTTGAATTTTTGCACACGCGTATCTGAGGATAACATGCTCCTCTGTTCAAAATTTTGACCCGCTACGACAAACCGTTCCGGGGTTATTCAAGGTCAAATTCGTATCCACGTACGTGCCAAACCCTGTACGAGATTGTGCAAGCGTCGTACGATTTACATAGTCATTGAAAAATCACGTTATTAAGGATACTAAATATTTTTGTTTTTCTTCGTAAATTATTTTACAATACCAATGATACGAAGAAATAATGAATACCTTCAATAAATCTCTGAAATTTTTTTACCATCTTAAATTCCTTTAAGATTTCAAACTGGTACCGTCCTAAATTCGACGTGAGAAAAGGAATCTTGAAGCGATGCAGGGCCGAATTCGTATTGTGTCTCACGAAGATGGATACAGAGGTCAACTTGGAATCAGTTGATCAATCAGAGCTGGACAGGTTGAAGTCAAATATCCGACTACTGGGGGAATTGTATAATTGCTACGGAATAAGTCATAAGAAAATTATGAACTTTGTTGACAGTCTTTTAAGTAAGTGAATATTTAGAGTTTCAACCTGTTTGTTGCTAATTCATACAGTTTGAGAAAGACTTTTGTATTTCAATGGATTAAGATAGGAACACTGATTTGAGCGTGACGATCCTTTGCGACTTGATAAGGACGATTGGGTGCAAGTTGGATAAGACAGTTAAAGAGTTTACAGAAGAAACTGTATGGAGGAAGTCTGTAAAAACTGTGAAATTCCTACGAGGTGTTGAAAACCTGTTTGATGACCTGACTACTCGAAGTAATAGTGGATCTTTGTCCTCAAGTTCAAAAACTGATGTCAAGGTTAAAGATACCTAAGAATAAATATAATTCATCAAAAGTAGTTTTTGGTCAAAATGAAGTTGGATTTTTAGGAAATTTTGGAACTTCGAAAGAACAATTGGAAAGCTGGTGAAGTTACAACCACGACTAGAGCAGAAAATAACGCAAATTTGTACTTGGAAAATGACCGGGTGAATTTCATTTTCATATTCAAATTAAAAATCAGTACTGGTTAAAAATACGACCTAAATCTCTAATTTTAGGATATTGAGTTAACCATTCGACAAATGTTGAACAAGATCAGCCACTCCAATTTCGACGAAGTTTTGGAAGACTTTACAACCACTCTCTACTTCGATGACGGCGAGGTTAACTTGACAAGTCTTTTCGTTGATATTATGATGAAGAAAGTGGTCAAGAAACCAACGTCGGCCGGCGTTTTTGCAAGATTGGTATATACATAAATATTATGATAAGTTTCTGAAAATAATCAACATTTTGAACTAATTTTCTTTTAGATATACACTAGTGATCAATTATCCGAATTGAGAAAAGTAGTCTTGGACCGATGTCAGATCGAATTCCACTCAATTGTTGCCGGTGTGGATAAGATTAAAGAATCGGAAGATAATTTATTAGATAACGATGGAATTTCAGAAGAATTTGACAAAACCAAATCAGAATGTATGAAACGAAGTGGAGGTCAAATTCGACTAATTGGAGAGTTGTACAACTACGACGTGCTTGGCCAAAGTACAATTATGAGGTGTGTCAACGTTCTTTCAAGTAAGTTGAGCTTTGGTTTTGTAATTGTGGGTGATAGTTAATTACGGAAACTAATGAGAGTATTCACAGTTGTCTTCTTATCCTTCGTATCGTGAAATAGTTTACGAATAACCAGGCGTCAAGCGTCGTAAAAATTGCTAGCAACAACACGCTGACAAAATCTTGCGACTCTTCTAACGTCTCGTAACTGTCGTAACTTATTTTGATTTTGAGAATGTAAGTAAATATTTCTTTATGTGAATTTAGAGAGGCACCATGATGTAACCATGGCGACACTTTGTGCCCTGATAACAACGATTGGTGTCAAGTTGGATAAGGCAGTCGACCAGTTTAAGGAAGATGAACAAACGAGCCTAAATCTGGCAAAATTGAAGGATGATGCAGAATTCGTGGACTGGATTGAAACCCTGTTTCAAAACCTGGAGGGTCGAATTATTTGTGGATTTTTATCGCAAAATTCAGAAACTGCAGTGCAGGTTGGTAACTGCAACTTTCTGTAAACCCATAGAAATTAATGCTTGGCCAAAATTAAAGTCTGAATGTTTTTGTGCAGGAAATTTTGCAACTTTGAGCGAACAACTGGAAAACCGAAGAAGTTCTAATAACTTCAAAATCAGGAGATAATGTAAATTGTAACGTTGCGAATGACGTGGTAATTTACCAGTTTTATATGAAAATGCGTAAAAAGATATGTCTTTACGTGTACAAAATATTGTTAATTTTCTGTTTAACAATTATTTCCTAGAAATAATAATAGATGTAACTATTAATTGATTACAGAATTTCGCGAGACTGAATAATAATAAGTTGGAGTCCAGCAATATTTCAAAAAGTTCAAGCCGAATGTCCACATCGTCAAATTCTGGTTCGGATGCTTCCTTCGGAAAGGAAGATGTACATATGTCTCATTTTTTATTTAAATTTTGGCAGAGATTTTGCAAATAATCGAAACTGTATTTTGCAGGATAGTGTATCCAAACGATCTGCAGAATTGACCGATGCCATGTCTTCCGTTAAACTGACGCCTTACTTGGCTACGGAAAAGGAGGAGGGATTCGACCCCATGAAAGCGCAACTGGAAAAATCGACAGATACGATATCTTGTTCCAGAGGAAAATCCAACGTGGTAATTTTTCATGGCAGTATTTTTGTAACTTTTCTATATTCATGGCTATTATCACTAAAAATATGCAGATTCGTGAAAGTACAAATGCAGACCCAGAACCTTCCCGAAGTGCTAATTCTATCGAAAATAACAGCGAAATTGGAGCTTCTTTGCCATCATCTTGTCCGCCTCAGCTCAAGTATTTATCCATGTACACAAATTACGACAGAATGCTTACACAGATGCCTCCCGAAGTCGTGGAAGATATAAACATGCAAATTTCTGCTATTATCTACCAACATTTCAAGTACCACAAGGACCTCGAGAGATTTAGAAAGAGACAAAATGACTTTGAAAATGGCATGTTTTATAATAAATAGTTTATATAAACACTTATAAACGAAATTTTAAACCTTGGATATTTAGTAAACCACAATCGAAATATATTTATAGAAACTTATAAGTGGTGTGCCTTATTCAAGTGGAACATATCTTATTTTCTGCAGAAATTGTGATATTGATTAATATAAATTTAGATAAATTGGTCCTATGTGAAATTGTATGAAACACTTACGTAGATAGGGGACGGTCTATAAATTATGTCACGCGAGGGTCTAAGGCTCCAATGATATCGTGCCTATTTGACACATGTTAGAGGGGGGAGGGGGGGGGGGGGTCTAGAAAATGCGATTTTTGCGTGACATAATTTATGGATCTCCTCTAATACACTTATTGTACATATGATATGCTACTTTTGTAACATAGCTGAAGTTTTAAATAACTCAATTTCGCATAAAAGCCAAATCTATGGCCATAATCATTAATTACATACAAAAACCAATAAACTTTGGAGGCACAGATAACGACAGGCCTTGTTTGCATGCATGCATTCTTCTTTATCAGTAAAGGAAAATTACATGTGTGATGTGTATCAACTTGACAACGTGTTGCGTGGCAGATTCATAACAGGTGATTTGGTCGACTTTTTTATTGGACAAAAAATGTGTTGATTAATTGTCTGTCCACTTCAGTGTCCAGCCATTTGTGTACATAAGTGCTAATTGGTAAGATAGTATTCCTATATTTTCTAAAAAGAATACAAATAACCTTATGACATTCAATTAATTCAAATAATCACGTCTTCTTTGCACTTTGCTAAGAAGATTTCACTTTCTACATGTTTAATAAATAATTAAAATTTAATTCCAAATTACTTTTGTGCATCTTAGAATTACCATTGCAGCCATATCTGTATAATCAAGGGTGTTAATTCGGCCCTAAAATGACCACAAACAAGCCGACCGAGGTAAGTCATATCTACGTCGTGTCGAACGAATTAAATAATTTAACCACACATTTTTTAACGAGCAATACTTTTTACATTCCTTTAAAGATGCGACTAATTGTTTCTGCTAAATTTACAGGATGTTGAGTTAACCATTCGTAAAATGTTGAACAAACTCTGCCACTCCAATTTAGGCGAGGTTTTTCAAAACTTTATGAGGATTCAAGCTCAAGACGATGACCTGGATCACTTGACCCGTCTCATCGTTGACATTATTCTGAATAAAGTGGACATAAACCCTGGGAGGGCCGGCGCATTTGTGAAATTGGTAAATGCTCATTATCATAATATTTCTATATATCATGTTCCCATTTTAAATTCATTTTCTTAATTTGTTTCATGTCAGACATCAAAATGTTTTTATCATAAGTTCAACTTGAGGCAGGAAATCTTGGATCGATGTCTCGTAGAATTCCGATCTTGTATGGATAACTTGGAATCAATTGATAAATCAAAATTGGACAGATTCAAGGCAAAACTTATAGAACGTAGCGAAGGAAATATTCGACTACTTGGAGAACTGTTCAACTATCAAGTACTAAACTGTAAAATGATTATGGAGTGCGTCGATATTCTTTTCAGTAAGGCCGTAAAATTTCAATTCCTTGATTGTATAATTCTTAAAGTTGAATAAGAAGATTTATATTTCTGTGAATTTGAAGAGAGGCAGGATGATTTGAGCGTGGCGATTTTTTGCAACTTGATAAGAACGATTGGGCACAAGTTGGATAAGACAGTTAAGGAGTTTAAGCAATCAAAGATAAAATGCTTGCCAAAATTGAGGGATGATACAGAATTCGTACACTGGATTGAAACCCTGTTTGAAGATTTGGATGCTCGAATTACTAGTGGATATTTTTTGTCGCTAAATTCTGAGACTGCAGTTCAGGTTGGTAATAGTAATGATAAATCCCTAAAAAAATTAATATTTGGTCAAAATTAAACTGAACATTTTTTTAGGAAGTTTTGCAACTTCGAAAGAACAATTGGAAAACGGAAGAAGTTGTAACGACTTCAAAATCCAGGAAAAATTTAAATTTGCAGCTTGCGCCAAGGAACATTGACAACGAAGCTAGCAAGGATTGGGTAATCATGAATTCGTGTAAAAATACTAATTATACTTTACTTCGAAAGTGTTTAATGAAGATATATGTACATATATTTCAGTTTGGATTTTGTTTTTGTCAGACTTTGTAATTAATCAAAGCTGTATTCTACAGGTTTTTGCAGAATTTCCCAAGCTCATGTCTGGCTTGGTGGCGGAGGAGGACAAGACGCTCGACGCCATGAAAGCTCAACCAGAAAAATCAAGAGATACGATATCTCCTTCAAGTGGAGAATCCGACGTGGTAAGTCATGCATGCACAGATAAGTAATTCATAACTAAACTGCATTTTGTAATAAACAATGCTTCCTGACTTCGCTTGTAGTAAAAGATTATCTCCAATAACTTTACAGGATGTCGAGTCAATCATTCGACAAATGTTGAACAGAGTCAGCCACTCCAATTTCGACGAGGTTTTGCCAGACTTTATAAGCATTCAAGCAGATGACATTGATCACCTGGCAAGTCTCGTCGTTGACATTATGCTGAGTAAATTGGACCGAAACCCTTGGAGGGCCAGCGTATTTGCAAGATTGGTAAATGAACAAAGTACAATGTCAATACTGAGGGTATTCATGATTTCTTCGTATCTTTAGTGTTCTTCGTCTCGTAAAATTAATTACGAGATTTTGTAAGCGTCATACGATTTTGTCGTAAAAAATATTATAAAAGAAATAATGAATACCCTCAATAAATTTCTGGAAATTTGTTATCATTTTACATCCCTTTAAGATATCAGAATGGTTCCGTCCTAAATTCGATTTGAGAAAAGGGATCTTGAAGCGATGCAAGGCAGAATTCATATTGTGTATCAAGAATATGGATATGGATGCGGTAAGAGCATCTGGGGATAACTTGGAACCAATTCGTCAATCAGAATTGGGCAGATTCAAGGCAAATATTCGACTGCTTGGGGAATTGTACAACTATCAAGCATTAGAGGATAAGAAAATTATGAAGTATGTCGACAATCTTTTAAGTAAGTGCATAAAACTGCGTAGTCCATTGGTTGCATAATTTCTATAGTTGATTAAGGAAAATGCATACATGTGTGATTTAAGAGAGGCACGATGGCTTGAGCGTGACGATCCTTTGCAACTTGATAAGGACGATTGGGCGCCAGTTGGATAAGACAGTTAAGGAGTTTACTGAAGAAATTAAACTGACGAAACTAAGTTTTTCAAAATTGGATAAAAAATTGAAATTCGTACACGGGGTTGAAAATCTTTTTGAAGACCTTAGAACTCGAAGTAATAGTGAAGCTTTGTCCTCTAGTTCAATAACTGATCTCAAGGTTAAAAATATTTAACGACGGAGAAACAATCTAAATTAGTGTTTGGTCAATATTAAGTTTGAACTTTTAGGAAATTTTGCAACTTCGAAAGAACAATTGGGAACGTGAAGAAGCATCAACGACTTCATTATCAAGCAATAAAATAAACTGGACCTTAGCGTATGGCGTGGTAAGTTCCTATTCAAAATCATATTAAAAATTAGTACTGTACAAACAAACGCTCTACAAATTCTCTGAAATTTTAGGATTTAGATTTAACCATTCGACAAATGCTTAACAAACTCAGCCACTCGAATTTCGACGAAGTTTTTGAAGAGTTTTCAACCAGTAACTGTATAAATGGAGACGATAACCTGATAAGTCTCGCCGTTGACATTATGATGGAAAAAGTGGCCAAAAAACCAACGTCGGCTGGCGTTTTGGCAAAATTGGTACAAATATATAACTTTCTGCAAATTATTTCCATTGTAAACTCCTTTCGTTACTTATCAGGTATCCAGAAGCATCGATCAGTTCCGGACCAGAACTAAGCGCTCACCCAAATTGATGAAAGGAATCTTGGACCAATGTCAGATGAAATTCCAATCGTGTGTCGACAATTTGGATAAGATCAAAGAATTGGAAGATAACTTGGAATCAATTGATAAATCAGGATTGAACATATTAGCCTTAGAACTGGTTAAAAGTAATGAAGGTAATATTCGACTAATTGGGGAATTGTGCAACCATCAGATGCTAATACCTAGAATAATTATGGAATGTGCCAACGTTCTTTTAAGTAAGTTGAGTTTTAATTATTTTGTAGCCTTTATTGTGCATCATAGTTAATTAGAGAAAATTAGTATATGCAAATATTTCTATGAATTAAGAAAATAACCATGATATGGGCGTGGCGATCCTTTGCGACTTGATAAGGACGACTGGCCTCACCTTGGATAAGAAAGTTAAAGAGATTAAGGAGAATAAATCGAAGAAGCAAAGTTTATCAAATCTTCGTAACAATATGAAATTGGTACAAGGGGTTGAAAACTTTTTTGAAGACCTGACTACTCGAAGTAATGGTGGATATTTGCCTTCAAATTCAATAACTGCTGTCAAAGTTAGTTAATAACAGAAAATATTTAGTGATTAATAATCCATAAAAAATAGTTTTTGGTAAAGGCTAAGCTGTGAATTGATTTTTAGGGAATTTTGGAACTTCGAAAGAACAATTGGAAAACCGAAGAAGGTCTAACGACTTCAAAATTAGTAGTGAACGTAAGTCACAAGTTCATATTAAAAATCAATACTGCATAATTTTATTCTGTACAAAAGATTTCATTTTCATTTAAAAATATTTCCTAGGGCGCTGTACCGATATTCAAGCAAAGGAAGATTGACAACCAGGTTTGTGTATGTATTTAATCATGAAGATAAAAATGAAAGGAAACTGGTAATGGTGACTATTGATTACAGATTTTCGTGAAACTTAACAACAATGTTCAAAGTTCAAGCCGAATGTCCACATCGTCAAATTCAACTTCGGGAGCGTTAGACGAAGATGTAAATATGTTTTGTTTTGTATTTAAATATTGCTTTTGTTAAAGTTTACAAATAAGCAAAACTATATTTTGCAGGATCTTGTATCCAAACGATTTGCAGAACTGACCGGTGCCATGTCTTCCGTAAAATTGACGCCTTACTTGGCTACGAAAAAAGAGGAGGTATTCCACTCTGCGAAAGCGAAGCTGGAAAAATCGACAGATACGATATCGTGTTCAAGAGGAAAATCCAACACGGTAATTTTTCACGTATTTCGTGTTAAGAATTTTTCCGTATTTACATTTATATGACATTCACATATACGTAGGTGTTTTATTATTGATTTTCAAAACGTATGTTCCGCATTGTTTCTGACCAAAATTTTGATGAAATAACAAACTTCAGATACATTTAGGATGCTGTGATTTTTTTCAGCTCTTTAGGTTAACATCACCACTAGCAATAAATCAGCAAACTTTACCTCGACGGAAAAAATGTCAGATTTACAAATTAAATATCGTAGTGTGATTTAACTTTTAACGCTGGAAGGGCAATCGGTGTCGCAGATTTATGATCGCATGCTTAAAGTTTACGATGAAAACTGCCCAACACAAAGCACAATATAAATTGGGTCAGTAACTTCAAATGATGGCGAAAAGTGGTCTCGGACAAAAAGTCGCCAGGACGCCCAAAATCAGTTTTTTCCACAGAAAGGCTCCAGAAACTAGAGGAACCAATAGAGATCCACGATTGAAACTGTCCTATTTAGCAGATAAGATGGGTGTTCCAAAACCAACAATTTGTTCCACGTTAACTGAAGACTTAGGTATGAAAATGGCTTCCGCCCGTTGGGTACCAAAATTGCTTTCGGCATCTCAACAACAAGATCGAGTTGACCTTTGCAACGCCAATTTTAACCTATTAAATGAAAACTGGAACCTGCTTCATATTTTAGTAGTTGCATATGATACTTGGGTTTACTATTATGACCTGCAGACTAAACAATACTTCATGCAATGGGAGTACGGGGGGTTGCCACCGCCCATGAAAGCAAAAGCGTAAAAATCTGCCAAAAAATTGATTATGACTATTTACAATGATACAAAAGGTCCCCTTCTTACATAATTTCTTGCTGGAAATACTACGATAAATTGAAGATGATCATTTTGAAGGATTCTAAAGGTTTATTCCTTATGAAATTTATTGCTCGAAATACTACGATAATTGGGGCAGCCTATGCAGGAACCCCGACGGAGCTGCGTGCTGCGGTTGAAGAGAAACGTGAGGTCAAAATAAAGAGTTGGCCTTTTTTTAGACGACAACGCGCCAACAAATACCTCGCTGGTTTCGAGGGCTGCTGCAGACGAAAAACGCTTCACCGTCATAAACCATCCCCCGTACAGTCCAGCCTTATATATGGTTTCAAGAATCATTTATTTAAAGTGTTTAATCATATCACTAAAATATATGTATACAAAGCACTTCTTTAATTCCTTTAAATTGATTCAAATTTAATTTATTTGCCCACAAAAATTCCAAAAAAGCATTTACATTTTAATATATATTAAATATATATACATCACATATTAAATAACAAACTAACATGCTCTGGTGTCATATTTCTACCAATGTTGGAATTATTTATGTATGTAAATACATACATAAATTTTGCTGAAAGGATATTTATTTCTGAAAATCGGTGAAATACGTACAAACGTATTAAATGTATCAAAACATCGAGTACGTAAAATACGTGAAAACATTTTTGTTATGGTAGAATGTTTAGCAGGTGAGCGACTTCAGGCATTGACGGTGGAACGTCCTGGCACACCTGTCAAATAATTCACACAACTTATTGCGTGAAAATATGAATCATTAGTATGTATAAATATTATATTACACATACTTCAGACAAGAAACAAAGTCTTTTTGAGGGACAACTTTACTGCATTCTTGGCAATGTCTTCCGGCAACGTTCGAAAAATGTAGCCCACATTTGCCTTTTATCGTCCCTACGATTCGCTTTCGAAAGTCATTCAAGTCAACTTCACCTGGTGGAATTGGAAGGCCTTGCATTAAAAATAATGCGTAGTACAGGATATAAACCCCGCATTTGGTTCCGTCCTGCAAAGCAGTTGAATTAGCATTACCTTAAAAAGATGATGTTGTGTAAATTAAATAACAACCAACCCAGTCAACTTCCGAGTCTTTGGTTTCAAAGTACTCTCTAGTGATCCTAAGCCTAAGTTGCCATCAACATTTTGATAGAAAGTGATTATAATTCGAAATAGGAGTTACATTTTTTTCTCTTACCACAAGAAGATAAGCAGGCAATGTAATGCGAGCATAGCCCCTTCCGAGAGCAAGAACATGTTCGCTTTTGGAAGTCAGCCTGCATTTAAATTGTTCAATAAACTCCACACTTCATGCCTAATTTAGCTAAAAATTTTTTATATTACCATGAATGAATTTCCATCTAGTCCACTGACGACAACGGTGTGAGCCTCAGGCACGTGATGTACACGACCAGGGTCTAAGAAAAATTGTGCCAATCCCCTCTCAGAAGTGTCGATATTAGTCACATTCCTGGGTGGATATATGGCAAGATCGGATGGAACTTTTCTGTCCAAAATCATGGCCGGGAGTGCTGTCAAATCAATGACGTCTTTGATAGTGTCTGGAATTAGCTTGAGCGTGTGTGGAACCATCTCCTTAAGTAATTTAAAATCTCCAGAAAGTTGGAATCCACGCCTTATCATGTTCAGATGTCTCGCTTGAATCATATACAGCGATATTGCAATCGTTGTATAGTCACTTGGTTTATCGATTATTCGTTTCACAGCAGCATTCATAGACTCAGCGATATTGCTTGTTATCTGCCGGTAGTTCACGGACTCCAAAATGGTAATTTTTTTGTTCGAAATTCGTAAGGAGCAAATCCTATCGTATATATATATATTCTTGACCAGGGTGACCCAAGGAATGCGCCTAATTTTTTTTGTGAGGTCACACCCCCCGGGGGGCGAACCACCCCCCCTGTCGGGGGAAGTTTAGACTGACCCCTGAATATTGTTAAGCAACTATCGCTGATGTTATCTGCCAAATTTCAGAATTTTAGCCCTCATGGTTCGGGTGGTTCATGCATTTGAAAGTTTTAAAACAGGCGTTTTGGGGCTGTTTCGACCACACCCCCTGCCCTAAGTGGGAAACATGGGGAAGTGAACGTAGTGCAGTTTGATTTACCCCCTCGAGTACTACATAATCCTACAAAGGTTAGCTAGAAGCGAGCGGGATGCTCTAGATATTTCATGTCGAAATCGTCGAAAAAACGTTTTCGAGCTTTACCAAGAAAATGTGATGGGAAATGGTGAAAAAATATGATTTCTCATTCGCAATTTAGTCTTAGCGAGTAAAATACAATGTCAGGCAAATATTAAAATTGTTGACCCCTCTGGGTCTCTAGTAGGGCAGCCTCCATGTATCAGCGAGTCCATCCTACTATGAGGGTGGTAAAATTGAAGTGAGCCCCCCCATTCCGATTTTTCGGGATAGCAATACCGTAAATACTGAAAGTTTTCTTCCAGTCAAGGTCAAAAATAGTTGCCCAAAACTATTGCGAATGAGAAATCATATTTTTTACCATTTCCCATCACATTTTCTTGGTAAAGCTCGAGAACGTTTTTTCGACGATTTCGACATGAAATATCTAGAGCATCCCGCTCGCTTCTAGCTAACCTTTGTAGGATTATGTAGTACTCGAGGGGGTAAATCAAACTGCACTACGTTCACTTCCCCATGTTTCCCACTTAGGGCAGGGGGTGTGGTCGAAACAGCCACAAAACGCCTGTTTTAAAACTTTCAAATGCATGAACCACCCGAACCATGAGGGCTAAAATTCTGAAATTTGGCAGATAACATCAGCGATAGTTGCTTAACAATATTCAGGGGTCAGTCTAAACTTCCCCCGACAGGGGGGGTGGTTCGCCCCCCGGGGGGTGTGACCTCACAAAAAAATTAGGCGCATTCCTTGGGTCACCCTGGTCAAGAATATATATATATACGATAGGATTTGCTCCTTACGAATTTCGAACAAAAAAATTACCATTTTGGAGTCCGTATAGTTGTTGAAAAATGGAAACAGTAAGATTAGATTAATAATTTGGATGTCAATTAAGAAGTAACCAACATGTACTTACCCCGGAATCTGTAGTGGAAAGGTTGACGCCATCCAACATTCACCGAGCACTCTGCCGGATGTCCGCATTCAAGTATGTATGAAAGTAGTGAAATCAAAATCAAAATTTTACCGAGTACTCAGCCAATAGCTCCTCGTATTCCTCCAAACCGGACGAATTAAGTAAACTCTCCATTTGACCCAACAAATGACTTTCCGCATGGTGCTTCTCGATCCAATCCGCGACATTCTGTTTAAACAAACATTAATTATCACTACTACTAACATGATAAGTACGCATATAATTTCAGCTCCCACGTAAAGTAGCACTGAAACGCTGGCCCAAAGGAGAAAATTTTAGCTTCAAATATAGCCAAAAACCAAAAAAACTTGAATTGAAATATGGAGTTTTTTATTTTAGTTTTAATTTCCTCCAATTTTAGCTTTAGTTTCCTCCAATAGGAAGTAGTAAACGGGACAAAATCAAGATTACTGGGCTGCTACTAGAAGCAACTGACATTCGTAACAATAACAAATTAAATTCATCACTTTAAATAATTATTATGAATATAAACTTACGCGTCGCATGTGGGACCAACAAAAGAAATGCGTTGCATTTCCCAGTTCATCCCGGATGGCCTTCTTGATCGACCCCTCCCGATCCGAGATAATAATCGTCCTATTTGTATTAAAGTTTGCAAGCTTTGACTTAAGCTTCCAAAAAAAGAATGAGTGGTCAATGGCTTCTGTATACGAATGGAGGAAGCTTGCAACTAGCACTGATTTATTATCAGCGAAGCAAGGGTCACGCCATGTCAACAGGGACAGATAGAGATCCCCAACATTATATGTTGTGTCATAGAAAAATTCCATACTTATGCTTTGTAAAGTTTCGTAGCACTTGTGAATATGCCCAAGGACTTTGCTGTAGGCAACGATTATCTTAATTCCTTCTATCAAATCCACAGAGTGGATAACACCTAGATGGTCGTAGGCAAAAGCTGCAATTTAATACACTTCGTCCCTGGATGATTTTATTGCGTATTGAATGTTCTGAGCTTGCTTCACGTTTCGAGGCACGTACTCAAGTTCGTCCTCAGTAGAGGTGTCCAGTGACGCCGCCCTATAAAGAGTGATATATTTTAAAGCCGTTACTAAAATCGTCCAGAAATAAACTTTCAATAAACTAGCTTAACTGAAAAGCTTGGACAGGGGTTAGCCCTTTCTCCAATTTGTCTTGCAGAATCTTTCTCACTGCTTTGTGAGTCTTAATGTGAGGTTGGGCAACCGTTGATGGAGACCCTGGCTTCTTGAATGTTGATGAGTGATCGACAGCCCCAGGTGTTGTTGTTACTACGTATGAAATTGTAAAACTCGAGTAGTATATAATAAGCCTTATATATTAAATATATATTTTACCTGGTGCCTCATATGGCTTCACAGGTGTGGACCCAGTTGGGTTTGTTTTCTGTAATTCAAGTATTTTTCTTGCATTTGCTTTCTCGGGGGTGTCAAGCGTGCCTTTGTGTCTTCCGTGTATGTAATCCGATAAATGGAAGGTTCCATGGAACTGAACCAGGACAAAATCGCCGGTCTCCATCCACTTCTTGTCTTCGAAAGTTACGAGACGAGCTTCTTGTTTTTTAAAATCTACCTCTTTCCCGTCAGATAGTAAGGCATAATCACGAATGACAATCGATTTGGCCTCCTTCCTCTTTGGTTGATATACTGTCCTCTTTAAGTTCCACCGGTATCCATCAGCCTGCCACCAACTTTCTTTTTTCCTTCCAAACGGACTCGATAGACGACAACCTGATAAGACAAGAGTTAAATTAATCAAACCCGCATGCATGCAAATATTTGGAATGAACACGATTATATACACGAATTTTTAATCCTGATAATTACACTTATGCATATGTGTAACATTAATAAAAACCTATGAGTACAGCTTTGCTGAGCCCGAACCAGGATTGATTTGTAAACCCGTTTATTTGCTTGTCCTTCCGTTGACTTTTTCCTATGACCAGTGGGGTCTCGTCGCCTCTATACAAATTTTGAAACTCAACGCTTGTAAATACTAATCACAAGTTATTTTTCGACTCCTACTAAATCTCCGTCGATTAGTTAAACTTTTAAAAATCGATATGGGTCACCTCCATTGCCTTTCTGGTTAATTTTTGTATATATTGAACTCCAAAAAAAGCCTACCAAAAGAATGTTTTCCAAATTCAATGTACCATTAAGAGCTATGAGAAACTCCGATGTGAAATTTAGCTCGATATGACGATTTTGAGAAATCGGTATTGGTCACCCCATAGGGTTCCTCGAGACTAAAATTAGTTCACAACGAGTAGCACATAATTTTATACAAAAATAGTGCTAAAAATGGGTTTATTAATTAATCTTAGTTCTGGGTAAGCAAAGCTGTATTGACAGGTTTTGATTATTAGCTCACCCTGCGAAGCATGAGAGCTATTGAATTCCTCTTGTCCGTCCGTCCGTCTGTCTGTGTGTTCACGAGTTTTTTGCATCAATTGATGCTAATTAATAATCCCCTTGACCATTATAGAATAAATTAGGCGCACCATTGGTATCGAACAATCCGTGGCGCAAGTGGTGCGAATTAATTGTGCAAATGGATCGAGAAAGGACTACAATTTTGCAATAGGTAGCACCGTTCGTATTGAACAGTTGGTTATCCAAGCTGATGCGAAACAATTGGATGAGCATCAGTTGATACTCACTAGAATGGATCAGGTCCATTTTTTAATAAATTAATAGCACCGTTGGTATCTAACAATCGGTAACACAAAATGATGCGAAACAATTGGGTTAATTCATGCAAAACGCACCAATGGTACAGAATAGCCGGGAGAATTTATTATATAATTTTGACACAAATTTTTTGAAATTTTATTTGACCCACCACGGTTAATCTCCAACAGTGGTGCAAAATACTTTGCCATCTTCCTCGTCTTTCTGCACCATTGATGCATAATTGCATAATAATTATTGATCTATTTTATGCTTCATTTTTATGCACCACTGGTGCATAATTGCTTAAAAATTATTGATCTATTTTGTTGAACTACTATAATTTTGCACCCAAGGTGCAAAGGTGCCAGGTAATTATATATTACAGGGTGAGCTACTTCTAACGTTACTACGGTTTATTCAAAGTTGACACAGTTTGCGAAATCACATGGGACATAATTCATGGGACATAATTCATTCAACATGGGACGATAAAACCATGTATTTTTTCCAGCGACACAAGACTCTCATGTTCTACCACACGCCGAACGGTGTGACCAACCCCCCTCCTGGAACTGTAGTCGATAAGGAAATCGTCCACCAGACGCAGACTGATTTTTACCTATGCTCTCACGCTGGCATGATGGTGAGCTAGCTTTGGTCATAGTTATTTGTGCAAATTATTCATATTATTGTGCGGATTATAATTTATCCAAATGTGTTTAACCAGTAATAATTAATTTCAATATTCTTCGTGATTGTGATTGTGACGGCGAAGCCTTAGTATGCAAACAGACCCCCCCTCCAAATATTCTGCCAAAGATTGTGATAAAACGACTAATCGTATCAAAATGGTGTAAAAGGCAATCGTGCAGACCTTGCTGAGAAGATGATGCCCGTCAATAAGAGGGACATGACAATCTTATTTTAACGCATTTAAAATCGATTTTAAACTTTCAAACGATTGGCAAATTCACTTTTACCATGCAATGATAGTGCGAGACCCTGATTTTCATGTGCAGAAATCTATAACGCGTCATTTAAAACAAACCCGAGCGAAATCGGATAAGGAATGAAAAACTTTTCTTGGTAGCATCTGCAACCAGTTACAGTAAATACGTTAATTATAATGGTTCTTCATTACTTATGATAAATCCACGTTTCTATTAGCAACAAGCACACTAGAAACATGTAACATCTGTATATAAACCTTTATGTATGCACTTTCAGAAATCCAGTATAAAAATTGACTACCAAAGTGGTATTGATTAGTACTACTGTGCGGTAATAGGTCGATATTGAAGTTTTACTATATCGGTAGTAAATTCTTACCCGCATAATTTTAATACTACACTCAAAACAAAACGGTGTCAATATATGACTTAACCGCCTTGGTTACAATTGTGATTCCGAGTAGCAATGAATTTTTTCCGTCCGGTCATAACATTATAACTACCGGTATCAAAATCATCATAACTCGGATTCAACATTGTAACCAAGGCGGTTAAGTCATATATTGACACCGGCGGTGTTGATTCGACAAATTTTTATTTTGAGTGTAATTGTAAGCAGTATCAACCACTTAGAATTCTATTAGAGATTTCTAACAGTGTGTGTACATACATAATGATGTTGGTGCATTTTGTTGACTATGAGTTCACGGGTGATGAGGGAATTTAATTTGGTATGCCCCCATCCACACCCACTGGGGATTAATTTCATATGCAACGCATCCGGGCTTATGAGGATTTAATTTGGTACACTCTTAGAAACTTGGTATTGAAAAAAACCTAACGGTATTGATAGGTGACTCTACCGCCTTGGTCTTAAACGGTTATACCATATTGGTATAGAACCGGTATTGAAATTATACCTCATGGTAATAATTTTAATACTAATTGGTATTAAATTTTTTACCACGTAGTGTTAATTCAATACCGGATCAATACCACGCGGTAGAGTCACGTATCAATACCAACGGTTGTTGATTTTTTTAAGAGTGTATCTATATTATTATTGGTGACCACTTAAAGAGACTTAAAAACAAAAAATAAACTAATTCTTTAAAAAAAACTTAGGTGAGGCTTGCTTAAAAGGAGAAAACAAGAAGTTATCATCGTGTAGTAACATAATATGCTAAATCAATGTTCATCTCATGATTTATAATTTTCGGTAAACAGAACAGCAAAGTATATGCGTTTGGGACCATTTGCCTCGCCGTGGGCCGTGATTAATTGAATACAGATATGACATCTTGCATAAATATTAACCTTTTAAAACGTGTGTATAATGACATGACCTAGGCGTTACCGCGGGAGATTTACTGTGATTATTGGGTTTTAATTCGGGAGTAATTTTCCAAAGAGAAAATCTAGTTTCGTGAAAGGAGGGGCGCTAAATAGATGGTTACTGTGGGAAGGGTTTTTTGAGTATTTTAAAATAAATTTTTGGTCATTTCAATTCTTTGCAATGTGATGGTAGAAAATTCAAAACGTTCACAATTTTGTATTCGAGTGTTTTTTTTTGTGTATATTTGATCAAATAACTCCTAATTAGTTTATGATATAAAATATTATTATGGGTTATGAAGAGCGAAAGAAAAATATTTTTTAACGAGGTCTATTGACCTCCTCCCGCAGTGGAGAAAAAATTTGGGTGGAAGCTAAAAGACCTCCTCCCGCACCATAGCTACAAATTCGTGGAGGTTTATTGACCTCCTCCCGCAGTAAGTCCGAAAATTTTAGGAGGCTAAAAGACTTCCTCCCGCAGCAACGCAATATTTCCAAGGAGGCCAAAAAGCCTCCACACGTTTTAAAAGGTTAAAATTTTGCTATAATTAAACTTTATTAATTTGTGATTAGCAGTCTTTGAATATATTTCTAGAATAAGTCTAGATTTTAAAAATTCATGTTCTGCTATTGTATGTAATATTGGAAATTAACCCACGCTTGGTAAATATGATCAGAAATCGATTATGAATAACAAAATTAACCAAAAAATTATATATTGTTCCATATGACGTATTTGCCGCATGTATGTAACAAATTCTCTGAGCACTAATAAATTTTAAAATTATTTTAATTCTCAAAACGGCCCACGGCGAGGCAAATGGTCCCAAACGCATATACTTTGCTGTTCTGTTTACCGAAAATTATGAATCATGAGATGAACATTGATTTAGCATATTATGTTACTACACGATGATAACTTCTTGTTTTCTCCTTTTAAGCAAGCCTCACCTAAGTTTTTTTTAAAGAATTAGTTTATTACCTATTACCCAATTTCTATGCTGATGATTAAATTTACATATTATTATAGTCACGAATCTTACATACGTTCAAACTCTTCTTATCTAGAAAGCATGTTTTTACCCAACAATACTTGACGAGAAACGGGTGGAACCGGTGTTTATACTCGTCCAAGTAAATTTAATTTTTATCGGTAAATTTGCCGAAATATGTGTGCAAAATGTTCAAGTGTAGTTTTATTCACCTCGTGCGTCACGATGTTTAATTGTTATGTAACAGTCCACAATAAATGGTTTATTATTATTTTCAAGCATGAGAAAATGCTGACGCTAATATAATTTATCCGGGGCAATATATAGCATCAGCGTATTTAAATAAGGCATTAACCATTGAAATATCGGAATAAGTTCTCATAATCCTTAGGACGTAGGTAAGTGTTTTCATCTGCACGTAATTTGTATTTTGAGACAAGCTGATCACACAGAAAAATGAATTAGAGCTGTAAAATCGCGTGTAAATGACTTTTTAAGCCAGGCAAACCTTTTATTTATCAGTACATGAGTACCCTATGTACTAAACTTCAGACTAATTGGTAGTTGCCGACCAACACATGCAAAAAATAAATGTTACTAATTACGTAAGCATTATGTAACTGTTACAAAATGTAATTACCTACACACAGATTTCAATAACTACATATCGTCGTACTAATTCATAAAAGACCTAAGTGCAGTCGGTGTTTAATTCAGAAACGACCGAAGTGCAGTCGATGCTCAATTCAGAAAAGACCTAAGTGCACAGAAAAAAAGTAAAAAAGACCTATGTGCAAGTATGTATTTACTTATGGCTAAATCGCGCGATATATATGAAAAATCATTTGGCAAGATTTAGCCATAAGTAAATACATACTTGCACATAGGTCTTTTTTTACTTTTTTTCTGTGCACTTAGGTCTTTTCTGAATTGAGCATCGACTGCACTTAGGGCTTTTCTGAATAAAGCATCGACTGCACTTAGGTCTTTTATGAATTAGTACGACGATATGTACATTGATTAGTAAATGTGTATCATAAACGTGTCGTCAAATCGGATAAGGACAAAGTATTACTGTAGAAGATAATCCTTAAAATACAGGGGTTTATGTACGAAATCGACATCAAAAGTATTACCGAACAAGATAATTATATAATCCCTAAAATATAACGATTAACTTTTACAATTACTTGTTCTCCGTTCCCTATTTAAAGCGTGGCGCTAAGGTCACCTGCCTCATTATTTAGTCACGACGCCTCACTAACAAAGATGAAGTTTGTCACCTTTGTGATCGTCACTTTCCTTCTGGGAATTTCTGACGCTCAGAAAAGCATCACTTACTCTCAGGGGACTGTTTCTGGGGGAACTACCGTGTCCCGAAATGGAAACGCGATCAATTTTTGGTTGGGGATTCCATACGCAACTTTCCCGACACGATTTGCCGTAACTTCTTAACATGCCCTAAAAATAGCGGGATATTTAACTTCCATACATTTTGACTGCAGGATCCCGTTGCTGCGCCAACATTTACGGGAGGCTCCTTCCCAGCCACGTGGTTTGGGCCGAGCTGCATGCAATCCGCGTCAGGGTCTGTCGAAGCTGGCTGCTTAACAATTAACGTTATCGCCCCTGCAAACGCATCTCCAACTAACACTTATCCCGTTATGGTAAATAGGTGTTCGAAAACCAATGTCATGGGGCAAATTAAGACTTTGTGTCTCTTCTAGGTCTGGATTCACGGTGGCGGGTTCCAAAATGGGGGATCTTCTGCCTACTTCCCGCAATTCATGCTGGATCAGAACATCGTCCTCGTCTCGATGAACTATCGTCTCGGCGTGTACGGCTTTCTGAACGCGGGGATCGCATCGGCCCGCGGAAACCAAGGTTTGAAAGATCAAGTCCTTGCGCTAAAATGGGTCCAGAACAATATTTTGCAATTTGGCGGGAACAAGAATAAGGTTACGATTTTTGGCGAAAGTGCGGGATCCATGAGCGTATCTTATCTGCTCGTATCGCCCATGGCGCGGGGACTCTTTCACGGGGCGATCATGCAAAGCGGGACGTTCACTAGTCCCTTCACGTACGGCGGGAAGCTTAATGGACGACAGTGTGCGGTGCAGGTCGGGCAGGCCGTGGGATGTCCGACGAATGATATGGGGCAACTTGTGACTTGTTTGCAGTCCGCGAGTACGGCAACTTTAAATGGATTTGGAAATTATGCAAATGCATTTGTAAGTTTTGGAAAAAATTTGGAAATTTTATGGATGATCTGTTTGAAATATGATAATTTTATAGTCGTTCTCTGAAGCTGCGATCTACTGTGGACCATCCATCGAGACCTTCGCGACAGGGATGAACGATCCGAAAGTATTTCTGGACCAAGATCCATGGGCGATGGTTGTGGCGGGAAATTACAGCAAAGTTCCAATGATAATCGGATCAATTTCTAATACTGAAGTTGTACCGCAAAGTTGTAAGCTGATGTTTCCACAAATTTATAAATTCGAATAATGGTTAAAAATTATTCACGAAAATATTCCAAACAAGGTCTTTAAACTCAATATCACATTAACCATTGAAAACTAATCGAAATTTTATATTTTTTTCAATCCAAAAATCTCAACAATCCCCAGATATCAACAACGCCGGAAATCTAGCCTATTTAAATGCCAACTGGGACGCCGTTATTTCCGACGCTCTTTACCTGGCCCACAATCCGACCTGGTTTTCCGTCACACAAGGCGCTAAGAACTTATTTCTGGCGGGAATTCCTGCCACCATAAATTCTGGCGCCACCCTTGGCCGAATGCTTACCGATAGAATTTTTACCCATCCCGTTCGCATAGTAGGGGCCGAATTTTCGAAAAGTGTACCCGTTTTCTTGTACAACTTTACCCATCCCGTCCTCCTCAACGGAGTTCCGACGCCGCCAAATCATGCAAGCGATCTGCAGTTCTTCTTTGATCTTAATGGTCAAAATGGGAACGTCAACACGCCGGGAGAGATTGCATTTTCTCAAGCCGTGGTTAAAGCATGGGCCACATTTGCGGATACAAAGTGGGTCTAATTTACATACTTCTTTTGTACCAAATTTGTTGGCACGTTTTCGAGAATGTTTTATTAATTTCATTCTTGAGTAATATGTAAAAAAAATCTTACAAATTTGAAAGTTTGATGACATTGGAATTTAAAATTATTATGATTTCCTTTCACCGGAATGATTATTGAATTTTGTACAATTTTGCAAATAGAGATTTTTGAGCAAAATTGAATTTAGTAAAGATATGTATTTGCATATTACCGTGAGCGTAGGGAAATATGAAGAAAAGTTTCACGGTACTTCGTAATTTGTAGAATCACTGTTTTACATATGTAGACATGGTCTTATCTAAAATCTAACATGTATCTCTGTTTTGTCTTTCTATTTGTAGAAGCCCAGGTCAATTTTGGGGTGGTGTGACATCCTCCTGGACCGCGAATACTGTAACGACCCCTTGTGGTGCTTTGAATTATGCCATTCTCGACAGCGTCCCCTCAATGCAGACCGCACCCGCACAGTCAGTCAGTGACTGTATATTCTGGACGAGTTTGTCTCTCAACGAACCCGGACAACCGAAGACATGCCCAACCTTGTTGGACAGCATTTTGAACCCGGTCGCTGGACTTTTGCCAGGAGGAGGTTTACTTCCCGGTATTCCAATAATTGGTTAGATCATTGGTTACTAATTATTGGTTACTGCGATTTTGAAAAAAAAAATAAATTTTTAAGGTTGTAAAAGTTCAAAAAATTATTATACTAAGCCTTTATACATATGATTCCTTTATATGATTCTTTATATCATTCCGAATGATAACACCGATACATATTGACTTTTTAATTTTATTCAAAAGCTAATATTTTCATTGGAATTTAAAAACAAATTATTTCATTTTATTATTTGAACAGTTTGCACGGCGTTTTGTATCCCAATAACACATTCACATCTGTCACCCATAATAAATAAAGAAGCATTGATAATTAGTTCGAATTAAAATTGTTATTTGCACTAAAATTCTAAAACCGCAATAAAATGTTATTCAGACCTTTAAAGCACATCCCCTGAATTATGCACACCACATGTACATATTTAAATTAATTTTTCCGCAGAACTTTTCATTGTTACAAATTAATCTAAATACTTGTCGGCAAAGTAATTCATATTTCAATTTGATTTCTGTTTTCACTTTGCCATATTTAAGGATAAGTAAAATTGCATCAAATTCGCAATCCGATTTAAATTTAGTTATTCGTGGAAACATGATTTCAAGACTTCTGGCTCTTTTTATCTTCGTCATCATCTCATTTATCACTTCGGGTAACGGCGTCCGACTAAAAAATCGGTCCTCCGGGTACTGCCTCGATCTTGATGGGAATCGCGTTGTGATGAAATTTTGCACCGTTACCGCCATCTATCAAGACTGGACAATTCGTGGCGACGGGACAATCTTAAACCGAGGCAGGACCGGAAGTTGTCTCCACAGTTATGGTGGCTCCGTCTGGGCCTTTACGTGCGATGGGCCAGCAGCTCAAAAATGGGAAGGGTTGTTATCCCGAAAAAATTTGGGGGTTGGTAAATGCCTCGCATCCGGTGGGGGAGATTACGTAATTCCGCAAGATTGTGTGGCGACATACTCGTGGCAGAAGTGGGATGCGATTTAAGGTGCGAATTATTGTGAAAAAACGCACAAAGGAAATGTATGTACTCACTAAAAAATTTCATGTTTAAATTAATTTTAATTTGAACTATTGATGAAATTTTGCAGTTGTAAAATTATGCATTATTGGAAATTAAAGCTGATCTGATTTTCTGTCGGGAATATGCATATTTCTTTCTTCGTACTTTGACTTGTGTAAATAGCTGCATCTTATAAGGCATATTTCTAACTGTACATACATATTGGATGATGCTGCTAAATTCGATCTAAAAAAACTAATATTCTACCCACACAAGGCGCCGATTAAATTTCTGCACATGTGTAAAATAGTAATCATTTTCATGAGCTTAGAGAAACACGAGCATGTATGCATGTATCTATTTATGTACATACATATAGTTTGTAATGTTTATTTCTTATCAAAAAGTATAGATTATTATATAAACTGCCATTGTTTATCATTAAAATGAGGACTGTATGTATGTATGTATCTGTGTATAAGCATAAAATAATTACGGCCATAAACATATCAAATCAAATTTTTATTTCTCATCATTATACCAAATTTTATAATTTTGAACTTCAAGTGCAAGTTATTTAGCAGCCAAATTTCACCGAAAGGAATGGGAATCCACTGAAATGTGTGTTTACCTCATTCCAGTGTCCATCAAGACAAACTGATTTTCCAGTAAAGTCGTTATTCTGGTAAATCGTCCACTTTGAAAATCCAAAAGTATTAATTATGATTCCATTCGGGGCGAAGGGGAAATTATTCGCGGTTCCGGAACTGCCTAGGACGACCATCTCTCTCTTCTCACGATGCCCTTTCACATCGGTGACCTCGTAGAAGGACACTGCCGGGATGGAGGTGTCTGGTGGGCCGATATATCGCAATGATTTGATTCCACTCCAGTCAAAGTTGGAAGTACTATTTGAATACACGCCCGATCCAGCGGTGTGTTTGTGCTGTGTGTAATCCTTGCCTTCGAAAAAGTCCCACCTGAATATGTAAAATATTTGGGGTATTCATTACATTACGAATTGACATGTTCACATCGTAAACTATTTTAGTAAGATTTTGCGAAATTAAACTAGAGCAAGTTTTCAAATGAATTTGTAGCAATTTTTTTAGCCAAACTGGGAAATTTTTTGGTAATGTTACTAAATATGCGAACTCTTAAAGAATGCCCCCATTATCATAAACAATTAAAAATGGTGCACAAAGTCGTATTATTCACCTACTTGCTAAATAAAATTACTGAAAATTTTGAAATTTCGAAATCATTTAAATATGCTAAAACAATTGCATGCTAAAAATTCGCAACTTACCATCCACCCTTAATCTTGTAGGATTTTGCCGTCCCTAGGAAAAAACCCCAGTTGGTCAGGTCAGCTTCTTTGGTTTGAACAGTGAACGAGTTTCCCGACTGGTTTGGACCTGAATAAATCGTAATTTCAGGAATTTCGGAAACCACGAAGGACGCCAAGGAAATTAACAAAAATAGCCGAAACATTTTCGAAATTAGGAGATTAGGAAATTAGGACAAGTAAATCTCAATTTCTGCCTGACAAAAAAATGTTCTGTGTCGGATTCACCTTGGGAAGCCAAATTTATACCGGTTTTAACATAAACGAACAGGTTGTAGGGTTGAATAGGTGAATGAGTATGTGGCAAGTGCAGTTGTTTAAATTTGTACTCTATGACGCAAATTCTGGATTTTGATTGTGCATCTGGAATTGTTATTTATAATCATCTTATTGCTAATTTGAATATGTATGTAAATACCTGTTAAACATATTTATTTAGTGGTGATGTCGAAATAAGTTTTACCTGTTTAAACAGGTTTACACAACTGCTCTGAAATTCATCAATACATTAAAAAATATATATATAAAAAACACTTGGCAATCCATTTACAAGTGGTCATTGTCCAAAATTTTAGTTTATTTAGAGTTTGTGAATACTGATACATCTTTACATAAAGCCTGTGGTAAATTATATTGATGAGCGTAGATCAAGGCTTAGTTTGTATCCAGCCCATATTTATTTTATAATAGACACACCTCCCAGGTGTCACCTTGGGACGGTTGGGGTCAAAACTTTACCCGTGGACTTTTTCAGTTTTTCAGAATTTTCTTATATTTACATACATATTTACATATAATTATTTGAACCTCGTTCGTATAAATACCGAATACTTTTTATTAGTAAAAAGTTGAGCAATCAGTACATATGTACATAAGTAGATTTTTTATGTATGTTTTACTAAAATTACATCGATACACAATGCCGTAGTAAGTTCGAAATTTAATTTTGGAATGATAACTTCAACTATATATTTATGGCTCGAATACATAACCGAGGTATTTAAATGTTCTAAATATGTATGTTCGTTAAAGTTTTAAATTAAAATAAGTCTTGTGCATCGATAACTCTAGGCTTGTAGCGTGGTTTTGTCCTCCTCATCTTGAACTTTCCTCGCCTCGTTGACAAACGTGAAGAACAGTTCTCTGATGATTCGCACGACTTCATCAGTTTTGGCTTGTCTTTGGATATCGTCTTCGGTATTGACGTTTTCCGCTGGTTCGTCCCAAATGCTACTCATTCCCCCCGGGAGGGCCACAGGGGGATCATCTGCACTCGAGTGTTTTGCTATTCCTAAGCCTGAAAATTACGTAATATGTAAATATTTACATACATATGTATTTATACTGATTTCTGTCTACACACCCTTATAAATCCAGTATTAATATAATACCAAGCCGTTCTCATATTCAAGTCTTCCAAAGTGTTATTGATACATGCGTATGTATTACCGTGTATAATACACTGTGTATTATGTAGTTCGGTATTAATGTATTACCACATCGGTAGCAGTTTCTTACGGATGGGAATCATTTTTATACCAAGCGGTATCAACTTTAATACAAAGAAATCAATACTTGTGTGACCAAATATACCAGATTTTTAATAGGGTACATATTTGTAAATAATTTCAAGTTAACTCACCATTTCGACAGCAGACCAATTTAAGGATACCCACATCCACAAGGACCAGTACGATACTGCCAAATATAAAATATCTGGCGGATTCATTTCCACTTGGTGATGATGACGCGACGCTGTATTTTATGGCAAGTGCGACGTTAACTATGGCAATAAACGTGACTATAGTTATCAACAAGATGGAAATAATGCTGTACTTGCGAAAAGCGACGATCCTAGGGAAGAATTTCATCGAACTGGTTAAATTCCTTTATTGTGTGAAGGTGGATTGTTGGTGGCTTTAATTTTGGGGGCTGTATTGTACTTGAAAAACAATATTATTGCAGCACAATTATCCGGATTTACAGATCAAAACTGGTATTTGGAGGTTATTTTACACATGTAAGTGCTTATTTTTTATTCTCCGGAAATTATTGGGACAGTGTAGGAGAAGGAGATAACAGAAATCGATTAATTGGGATGGGTGGTTTGTTGTTGGCTGGTATCCTAACAACGAATGACCAGGGTTTCATGTGGAAACTGCTATAATTTTTTTACCAACGTTATAAAATTCAAGTTTATTGTAGGAAATATCAGTATGTTGAATTTATGTATGCAGGCATTTTTCGAAACCGTTATTTCGACCATGTGCGTGCGCTACACTGTTTCTATTTAAAGTTAACTATTTTACATAGAAACATTTTTATACAGCAACCTTATCTGAATATTTTAGGTACTATATACATACCCTATGCGAAAATTGAGAATGAGTGTATCATTATGCACTTATTGTACAGGATGGTTAAAATGTCAGGTTACAATGGGAAAAATTCAACACAAGTGAGTGATTGGAGTATGCGTACAGTTGTATGTATTTCAAAGGATGTATGATATTTTCATATCTACATATTTCTTTATTCCGTATGTATGCATTTATGTATAATTTGACAAACAGAAATTCACTATGATTTATGAATAACATAATTGAAATTCCAGTGTGAGCATGTGTATTAGCCTTATAATGTTAAGTCATTAATTCTTGGGTAAATATTCCAAATGTGAAATACAATGGTCTTATTATTATTTTCATCATAATTCATTTTGAATTTAGGAAGCCTTGGGTTTTTTGGTCGATCTATCAAGGACTAATTTGGCTGTATTTAAATCCTCAAACTTTATCTCCACTGAAAAATAGAGCTGTCATAGAAATATTTTACCAGAATAAAACCACAAAAAAGAAAAACTATTTATAGGGGTAGCTGATTTTAAGGTATGTAAAAGGCACAAAACTTGTGATTATGTATCTTGACATCACGTACAGAAAAATTTAAAATTAAGATAGTATGCAATTTCAAGATAATTTCAAGATCAAAACCTGATCTTTAAATGCTGGTTCTATCTGTACGCTACTAATAAAGTCCACGTGAAATGCGTCACTCGGTCCAAATAGCTCAAAAAGTAGCTCATTTGCATCCCATTGTGTATCATGTCGACAGATCTTAGGCACTCCAGACATACCGAATTTGGCAGCATGCCATTTAAAATCCTTCGGCGATACGAATCTCTCCCATTCTCCATTCGTAACCGTCTCAAAAACGTCTTCGACAACATTCCAATCTTTGCGTTGACACAGATCGCAAATATCTCCAGCATTGTGGAATAAATCAAAATTACGATGCAAGACGTAATTAACAACACCGATTTTCCGCCACGATCCGAAACTTCTACCAGAATCAGGAACACGGAGCTGGTTGACATAGCTACCGCCGAGAAGTGATGAAGACACGGAATTATAAATTCACCAATTAATTCTCCCTCAACTAAGGTCATGACACGGAGCATTTTGTAGATTTTTATACAAGAATGGAAACCAAGTCCACCGCCAAGTTTGAAAGATACATTACTCTTTGACTCGACGAGGAACATCGTCCACACGTAGAGACACGAGATACTGTAGGCAACTAGTAAGATGCAAATTACTAAGGTTGATATCATAAATAGGAACCCAAAAGTGGCCCAGATTCCGATTGACACCTGCATTACGACGGGAATAACGGGTCCGTACGCCTCGAAATTGTGGATGGCTCGAAGCATGGTGTAAAAAGGGTTTGATGTAGATAAAGCAAAAAATAGGATAAGAATTGGGACGATATATTCAAATGTGAGTAAAAATAAGTTGGCAGATTTTAACATTTCTTTAATCGCAGAGTCCAATTTGTCCCCATGGTTTTTATGTTGTTTGATGAGGACGAAACCTGAAAACCATGAAAAAAGTTCATACATAGTGGTACTTATTCATGAAATAATGCCTGATGGTGAGTTCTGTTTGTAGCCTAGTTGGAAAGCCATTAAATGTGCTTCTGCATATATATATATATATGAAATTCTGACAAAATCTTAGAAAATTGCATAGTTTTAGTACTGTCGTTTTAGGGCTGTCCAATCCGGATTTTTCGGGTTAAGAATACATCGAAATCCGAATTTCGTTCTGAGAACAATCCGGATTTACTTAACAAATATAAAGATTCTTATTCATTTGTGATCTAAGAATACAAACAGTTGAAAAAGTGAATTTTTTAGAAATCTTCTGACTGTTTTTTTTTCAATATTGATGGTTTATCATATCAGACATCAAACACAACGTTATTGAAATAGTGCAGTCAGTGATTAATGCTTACCTTCCAAAGCACACTCCAAATGTAGGATGGCATCAAAACAAGCGATATATTTCTTAGCGCCGGACGGTTTCATTAGAACACTTGCAAATCCCAAGTACGACGGAATAACAAAACTCACCAGGGAGGTTAAACATAGCGTTATCTTATCATCAATTCCCTCCTGTGACGTTGCTAAGGTGTAGCACCTCATCCACATCACGGGAAGGATGAAACACGCAATTAAAGCGTTTATTAGTTGAAGCGTTCGGAGCCGCCACTCGTCCTGGGGTATCGTGACACGAGAGCTTTTTGTCTCCCAGGTAAGATAATAAAGCGTGAATAGGGTTGACCTCTGGCTTCCTAGGACGGCGCGTTTTAAGTAGTTTCTAACCACGAAATACAGCATTTTAAAATTGTCGAAATTTGAATTTATTTCAGAAATTCTGTATATTTAGTGGGCAAGGATAGTAAGCAGCACGGATGCCTACTACCATTTGAGTTTGGGAACTGGATGTGTAAGCAATAAATAAATGCTTGACGCACGACCATGAATTACACGCAATGAAAGAGCATTTATGTAGTTTAGTCAAATTATTGTCAAGAGACAAATTACGTGAAAAATTGAGTAAAGATACCATTTTTCTTTGATAATTCCTACATATATACTTTGCAATTCCGGCATGATCATACATGTATGTATGAACTAAATATGTGCTGTGCTGTGCACACATACATGCATACATAGTTCCTTTACATATACATGCAAATTAGTATTTCACGTTTTATATAATCATGATTGGGTTGATGGTAATTGTACCTAATTGAGCAGCATATACACACATATACATATGTCCACATGTACATATCTACTTATTTTGAACAAGATATGAATGTAAACGTTTTGGTCTATTTTCTGACACAAAATTTCGGAAAATTGATGACTAAATAAAATAAGTATGTGTATATATACATATTGTTGGTCAAGGTACATATGTAAATACCAAAGGTTATCGTAAATTTAATAAATGTTGTTCTCAGCGGGAGTGTTCCAGTCCCCTTCTGCCCGATTTTCTATGGAGCTTCCCTCACCGCCCTAAAGAAGAAAACTGGCGGGATTCGGCCCGTGGCGGTTGGAAATGTATGGCGCCGCCTTTCCGCTAAAATCGCACTGAAAAGAATGTCCCCCGACCTTGTGGAATACCTAGCACCCCATCAACTGGGGGTGGGGATAAGGGGGGGTGCCGAAGCGGCGGCACATGCGGCCCGCATCTATTGGGGACACGCCCATACGACACCCAAAGCCTTTTTAAAAGTCGACTTTAACAACGCCTTTAACGAGATACGGCGGGATACAATTCTCCACATTATTCATGAAAGGTTCCCCTCAATGTTCAGTTTTTTGTCGCAGGCTTATGCTTTTCCGTCTCAATTATACTATGGCGACACCCCCATCTCCTCCCGCCAACAAGGGAACCCGTTAGGTCCCGCACTCTTCGCCCTCGTCGTCCAGCCCATTATCCTTGCAATCGAGGCAGAACTTAATCTGTGGTATCTGGACGATGCCACTATAGCGGACACCCCAGAAAAAGTGTTAGTCGCGATGGACACCATTATCCGCATGGGGGAGGAAGTTGGTCTTCGCCTGAACACCGCCAAGTGTGAAGTGGGCGTGCTAGGGGCGGACGAACGTTCCCGCCTTGAAATTTTGGAGCGTTTTTGCCGGGCAGCACCGGGGATACAGCAGATTCCCCCGAAGCTGCCGTTCTTCTGGGTGCTCCTCTCACCGATATGTCAATCGAGACTGTATTGGGGGCAAAGGCCGAACAACTCGCAAAACTTGGGACCCGACTACTCGAGCTCTCCTCCCACTCTGCTTTTTTCCTCCTTCGGGCCTCCATATCCACGCCCCGCCTCATATATTTTCTTCGTTGTGCCCCTACTTGGCGAAGATTTGACGCCCTCACCTTATATGACTCCAAACTAAAGGAGTCAATGGAAGGGATTCTCAACTGTACCCTTTCCCCGCATTCGTGGCTTCAGTCTTCCCTTCCGGTCAGTGAAGGTGGCCTAGGGGTCAAGCATGCTGTAGACGTGGCGATTCCGTGTTTCTTAGCGTCCGCCTACAGCGCCCTGCCCCTTGTTGAGCGCCTTCTGCCACCTTACCTGCATGACACCGACACCGCCAGGCAGGAAGGGGAAGAAATGTGGAACCCGATGGGCCCCGCCGAACTCCCCCCACTCGAACTTAGGGATGTTCAAGCGGCTTGGGAGATGCCTCAACAGGAGGCCGCCGTAAGTCACCTCAAAAATGGGGCGCTGACGCATGAAGATAAGGCCCGTCTCCTCGCGATGGGACAGCCGCACGTGGGGGCGTGGCTCAATGCCGTCCCTTCGCCACAACTGGGGACGCTACTCCCAAATGAGGCATTACGGGTAGCATGCGCCCTTCGTCTTGGTTGCGACGTTTGCCACCCTCACAAATGTCCATGCCGAGCTAGCGTGACATCAAAAGGCTATCATGGCCTGAAATGCAAAAGCAGTGCCGGTCGTCATTCTCGACACACTGCTGCCAATGACGTGATTTGGAGAGCACTCCGCACTGCTGGAGCCCCCGCTATCAAAGAGCCACCAGGGTGCTCTCGCCAAGACGGAAAGCGCCCAGACGGCCTAACATTAGTACCGTGGGCACGAGGGAGACCCCTTGTATGGGACTTTACATGTTCGGACACCTTCGCACCATCTTACCTCCCTCAATCGTGCGTTCATCCTGGTGCGGCAGCCGAAAGAGCGGAGGACGCCAAGAGGAAAAAATACGAATTCCTCCAGGATCGATTC